ATTACAAGATCACTTATATAATTGTCTCTTTGCACTAGCGGAGCTGATTATTTCTATCCTACGCATGGCGCACGTTTTGTTCTGGGTGGCAGCAGCGTTGCCTAGTGGATAAAGCGTTGACGGGGGATTCAAGAGACCTGGGTTTTAGCCCCAGTTCTTCCTCTGGCTTCCTGAGTGACTGTGGGCAGTCGCTTCTCTCCCCCACTTCTTTGCCTCCGTTTCCCCATCTATTAAACAGGGATAATGCTATTGAGCTCCATTGTAAAGTGTGTTGAGATCTATTGATCACATGCACTATATAAACGCTAGGTCTGTTGATTATTGTTGAACATCTATAGTGTGCGAACACCGACAAGCCAACCCAGTTGGACTCCGCTGCGCTAGGTGCTGCATGAACAGAAATGTCGTACGAGTCCCAAAGAAGCTTAAAAAAACTCAAACCTAGGAAAGAGGTTTAGTTGTGGTCAGGCTCAGTTAGCTCCTGGGAGCAACGCCCCACCTGTCACTCACGTTTTTTCCAGTCATGCTGAACTCAAAGGGTCCAAACAGCGTGACGCTGGTACCACACAAACAAACAAACACACGGCAAGGTTGGCTTAACAGAAATTATGAGCTTTGTGTATAGAATATATTTTGGCTTCTGGTTTTGTAGGTCACATTTTTCTCTGCCACCGTGAAGACTAGAAACGTGCTTAAAAAAAACCCAAACCAAAACAAAAGCTGAGCTCACAGAATCCCATGACTCAGGCGGCTGGGGATTTAAGACGGCACACGCCTCCCCATGAAACCCCCCAGAACTGCCGACAGTGAGCAGGTGCGAACCAGAGTCCCAAAGAAGGGACCCTTAACCTCTGAAGTCTACGTTTTTCAGAGTAAGTAACGAAGCACCAGCGCCCAAGAAAAGGGACTTTTTGGAAAGTGCGGCACGTCCACCCTATGAAAATCCGGCCGGAGCTGCAACGGCACCAGCTGTCTGTGGCAGCTGTGTAGCTCAGTGGGAGATGAAAACGTCCATCATCCCAAAAACAGGCTTTCAACAATCTAAGCGCTCCTGAGATTAGTTCACCGCAAGAGGGAAGGTGTTAAGGACACAACCCCTTTCATCAGCTTAACTGTGGGCATGTTGGCAGGGTGGGAGGAATTTAAACCTTCTCCTTCCATGGAGCCCTGACAAGTTTGTTCAGGTGGCCTTTGTCACGGAGTCCCTGGGCGATGATCTGGAACTGCTCCCCATGAAGCCAGTCAGGACTCTGGGGTAGTCGCCTTTCTGTGAGCAGCCTGTCTGCAGGACACACAGCTCACCCAGCTTCCACCTTCCTGGGTCTGACCTCGGAGCATTCAGCATCCTCTGCCCCTCCGTGCGCTTCCCCCAGCGAGTCCGCTCAGGCGGGGCTCCTAGGGAAGCCAGAGGGTCCTGCACCCCAACTTTGCAGTCAGACGTGACTCTCAGCCAGCCAGTAAAACAGAAGGTTTATTAGACGACAGGAACATGGTCTAAAACAGAGCTTGCAGGTGCAGAGAACGGGACCCCTCAGCTGGGTCCATTTTGGGGGGCAGTGAGCCAGACAACCCCGTCTGCACTTCACTCCATGTCCCAGCCAGCCCCAAACTGAAACTCCCTCCAGCCCCTCCTCCTCTGGGCTTTGTTCCTTTCCGGGCCAGGTGGTCACCTGATTCCTTTGTTCTCCAACCCTTCAGCTCTCACCTTGCAGGGGGGAAGGGCCCAGGCCATCAGTTGCCAGGAAACAGGGTGTCGGCCATTCTCTGTGTCCAGACTCCTGCAAACACATGCCCTCTAGGGCTCTGCAATGATCATACACCCTTACTCCACCCCTAGATACTTAAGAACTGCCTGGGGAAACTGAGGCACCCCCACACTATTCAGAGGAAACATTAAGAACAGTCCCACTTCGTCACATCTCTCCCCCTTCGAGATCGAACTGAGCGGGGTCACTTTAGCCAGTGACCTGGGGAAGTTCGAAGCCACCAACGTTCCCATGGATGTCCCAGCATCTCCCCATTCCTTGGTAGGAGTTACACCAGGCCCTTCCAATTTCACGCCCTCCCTTAGGTCAGGGGTGGTCGATAGCACTCGCAGGCGCATGTGGGAAGGTTTATGCAGCCCATGCCCTTTGGCCACCCCAAGAATGTCTCCCCATTGACCATCACCTTCTGCTCCCACTGGAGGTCCGGGGGCCTGGCCCCAGGAAACTCCACACAGACATATAGGTTGGGGTCAGGAGTGGGAGCCTGTCCACATCCCCAACCATCTGGCTGACGGAGTCTAAGGCCTTGGGACCCAGCAAGGGAGCTAGACACCGGGGCTTTTCCGCAGGGTCCCCTTGGTTCAAATCGCCAGCCTGCTCAAAGGCAGTGAGGTGGGCATCCACACACCTCCCTCCTTAACCAGGGGCAGCAATTTAGTCTCGAGGTTCCCTGCGGAACTGGCCCCCGGGATCTATCCCCACTCACCCCGGGGGGGTCCCCTAGGCCTCTCCGCCCCACCACCGCCAGTTCATGCTGCTGCTGCTTCTGCAGCTCTTGCTTGGGCTCTCGCTGTCTCCCACGGTCCTCTTGCTCTCTCAGACTCAGCTCCAATCCCGTCCGTCTCGATCCCCCGATGGGGAACCCGATCGTGAAGACCCTCGTCTGGTCGGGGACAGGAGTCTTGGCGTGCCTGGCTCCCACTCCAGCTGCTCCCAGATCCTGCTATAGCCCCAGTTGGGGTCAGGAATCTGTTCCTTAGAGCGGTCATCCTCCTCCAGCTGTACGATTAACTCTGCTTTGGTGAACTTTCCAACGCTCAACCCTCTCTTTCTGCACAGGGTTACAATGTCCTTCTTAAGGAGACGGTGACAGGCCATCACTCCGCTCCTCCCAAGTTGTTGTGGACTCACAGGCCCGTGTGTTCTCAGCTCCCCACGGTTTCCAGGGAGAACCCCTAGTGTGCCAGCCCTTCTCGAGGTCACCACCTCTTTGCCAGGGTCGAGCTGCAGTCCTCCGCCCCTGAGACTGCTCGCTGCAATCTCCAGGGGAACCCTGTTACTGCACAGTCCTTCTCGCTGGTCACACACTCCCAGGGGTTAACCGCCCCCCGAAACCGCTCCTCCTCCTGGTCCTCGGCAATCCCCCTTCGTGTTACTGCTCCCCAGTCACTTATGCAGGAAGCACCATCCACGGGGTGCAGTACATCCCACCGCTGCCACCAGTTGTCACGGAGTCCCTGGGCGATGATCTGGAACTGCTCCCCATGAAGCCAGTCAGGACTCTGGGGTAGTCGCCTTTCTGTGAGCAGCCTGTCTGCAGGAACACAGCTCACCCAGCTTCCACCTTCCTGGGTCTGACCTCGGAGCATTCAGCACCTCTGCCCCTCCGTGGCTTCCCCCAGCGAGTCCGCTCAGGCGGGGCTCCTAGGGAAGCCAAGGGTCCTGACCCCAACTTTGCAGTCAGACGTGACTCTCAGCCAGCCAGTAAAACAGAAGGTTTATTAGACGACAGGAACATGGTCTAAAACAGAGCTTGCAGGTGCAGAGAACGGGACCCCTCAGCTGGGTCCATTTTGGGGGGCAGTGAGCCAGACAACCCCGTCTGCACTTCACTCCATGTCCCAGCCAGCCCCAAACTGAAACTCCCTCCAGCCCCTCCTCCTCTGGGCTTTGTTCCTTTCCCGGGCCAGGTGGTCACCTGATTCCTTTGTTCTCCAACCCTTCAGCTCTCACCTTGCAGGGGGGAAGGGCCCAGGCCATCAGTTGCCAGGAAACAGGGTGTCGGCCATTCTCTGTGTCCAGACTCCTGCAAACACATGCCCTCTAGGGCTCTGCAATGATCATACACCCTTACTCCACCCCTAGATACTTAAGAACTGCCTGGGGAAACTGAGGCACCCCCACACTATTCAGAGGAAACATTAAGAACAGTCCCACTTCGTCACAGCCTTTCAAGCAGAAATAAAGACATGGAGGAAATATAAAGAGCCTGGCTTTGCGGTAGCTAAATTGGGCCAAATTCTGCCCTTTTGAGAGCAACCAGAGCAGGAGAAATGTTTGTTTTCGCCACCGTCCTTCTGGCTGCCGTGTCTTGCGGTGAAAGACACCGGAGAGGTTTGCTGCTCTCCTGGGCCATGCGCTATGAAGCTTGGGAAAGCCCCTAGAATTTCAGACCTAGCCAGAAACAACCACCAAATGAGCCTCTAAGAGATGCACTCTCCAAACACTCTTCGCTCCAAACACTGGTCGTTACCCTGAATGCACCTTCCTTTCCCGTAAAACTATTCGCAAATTCTCCCCCATGCAGCAAGAGGAGTTTTCTGTAGTTATTAAAAAGGCCAAACATTGTGGATGGATGAATTGGAAAACTTGGACTTTTCAGGTGGCCTGAAAGAAATTCCCAGGACATCCTATGGAAAACGGGATTGTCTCAGGAAAACTTGGCTTCATAGACTTTAAGGCCAATAATGACTATTATGAACAGTTCATTTGACTTTTACGGAGCCCACTAACTTGTGTCTAATGAAATGATCCGGTCAGAGAACGGCCCAAAATAATTCCTAGAGCAGATCTTTCAGAAAAACATCCCGTCTCGATTTAAAAGTTGTCAACAGTGGAGAATCCACCACTTCCCCCAGGGAGTTTGTGCCCTAAATTTGTGCCTTATTTCTAATTGGAATGTGCCTGGCTTTAGCTTCCAGGAGTTGGTTCTGCCTTTCTCCTCTAGCGTAACGGGTCCGTTAGGCCCCATGAACGTATTTATAAGCTGCGGGCAAGACACCAATCAATGGTTTTGAAGAACCAAACAGAGCGAGATGCGTGAGCCTCTCCCAGCAAGGCAGGTTTCCAACCCTCCGATTGTTGTCCCAGCTTTTCTCTGCTCTCAAAATGCAGCAGGTTGCTCTCCCTGCTCTGCCCCACCCACACCCGCTGGCTAGTCCCTTTAGTGACAGCAGCCCGGCCGGCCCCGAGCGTTCAGCAGATCAGGACTCAAGAAAAAATCACGGGACTGGCCAAGATTTGGGTTTGTTTTATTTGCTTCTGGTTTCTTTACTCGAGTCAAGTTTGTAAACTTTTCTCTATCACCCCCAGAGCTGGACAATTTTTATTTGTATTTGAGTTTAATGAAAACTTGAACCAAACTCACAAATCCGGAGCTCAGGACTTTGAAAAGAGAGAAGACCACCATCCTGATTAGACACTGCAAGCGACGAGGCCGGCGAGCTCATCTCACGCGTTCAAAGGCTGCGGGACACGAGGCTGTGAAAGGGGGAGCCAGGCGGGATGGGGCAGCGGCTCGCTCAGCGAGGGACAGCCCGGAGCTCGTAGGGACCTGGCACGTTCCCCAGGCCACTCATCAAGGGCGAGATGTCGATTTCCTCTGGGCGGACGAGGGGCGTGAGGGCGAAGCTCTGCAGGACGGCAGTGAAGAAGAGGAAGAGCTCCATGCGGGCCAGGCCCTCGCCCAGGCAGTTCCTCTTCCCTGGGGGGAAAGAAACACGGTGACGTCCGGGCCGTGCACGGGGGTGAGAGGCATGTCAGGATCCATCGCACCCCAAGTCTCGGTTACCCTCTCCCTGTACTTGTGGCTCAGGCACCTTTAAGACTCCTTTCATGTTCCCTGTATTCTGGGGACCGGCCCCCAGTGTCAGTTACAGCAGCCTTGGGGCTGCTCTAACTCATGCTCCATCCCCTTTATGGGCCCTGGGGGGCAGAGAATAGCCACAGCGCAGTGCACTCCGGCCACAACCCCAGTCCGCCCCCTATGGGTCCCGGGGGCAGAGAATAGCCACCGCAGCATGGGTGGTGGGTATCACAGGCCGGGGGAGGCTGTGTTTCCCCAAACAGCTTAGCATGGCCCCACCCACGCTCTGCCCCCAGGAGGGCCCCTGCTCCACTTCCCGATGCTCTGCCTTGGCTCAGGCTGGCTGGGGCTGGGGCTGGCCAGCCTACCACTGGGGTGGCCCCTGGACTCTCAGGGGGTCATTTCAGGCCCACAGCGGCACAGAGGGGCCTGATCTCTCCTCGCAGTGACCCCAAGGCCGTGGAGCTAGGAGTAGACGTGTTAGTGAAGACTCAACCTGTCCCACTCCCGCTCCTCAGCCCCGGACCGGGCAGGCCACACGTACCCATGGAGAAGGCCATGAAGGCGTCTTGCTTTCGGAAACCTCCTCTCGGGTCCAGGAAATGGGCCGGGTCGAACGAGGCCGGGTCTTTGAACTGGGCGGGGTCGTTGTGAACGGAGAACAGCAGCGGGATGACGTTGGTGCCCTGGGCAGGGGAAACGCAGAGCTGCAGCACATGCATCCAGAGGATCTCTCCGCCCATCCCTCCGTCCATCCATCCCCTGCCTATCCAGCCATCTTGATGTCCATCTGTCTTTTAATCCATCCATCTGTCTTTCTGTCTATCCACCCATCCTATCCATCTTGACAGTCTGTCCATCTCTGCCCAGGCACGGCTGGATAGAGTCTGTCTTGGGTGGTTTAGACCCACCAAACCCTGCCCTTCGGCAAGGGGTTAGACAAATTGTCCCTTGTGGTCCCTCTCAACCCTCTGGTTCTGTGATTCTACATCCATCTGGCTTCTCCACCCACTCACCGAGCTGTCCACACGTCTGTCTGTCTGCCCATCCATTGACTCGTTCTTCTGTCTGGCACTGGTGCAGCCATCCGTCCGTCTTGTCTGTCCATCCGTCCTCTCAGTCTGACTGTCCATTTATCCAACGATCCACCTTCTAGCCACCTGGATCATTTTCTGTCCTTCCACCCCGTCCATCCAGCTGGATTGTCCATCCATCCGTCTGTCCACCCACCTACTCACGTGTCCCTCAGCCTCTCCAACCATCTATCTTTCCATCCCTCCACCTATCCAGCCATGCTATCTATCAGTCTACTTGTCTATCTACCCACCCATCTACCCACCCATCCTATCTATCCATCCCAACGCACACCCCTCTCTCTGGCCATCTGTCCATCCACCCACCCACCCATCCGCCAGTCTATCCAGCCACGGTTCCAGCCGTTCCCTCTCCACACACCCTTTGGAAGCTGACAAGAGGGGAGACTCCAGCCCTGGGGGGCAGAGCCGTGTTTTCTTGCTCGAACGTGAGGAGGAGGGAAATCCCGTTACCTCTGGCAGCAGGAAACCCCTGAACCGGGTGTCCCGGGTCAGCGCGTGCGGGAGCCCCATGGGGATCACGTCGCCGAAGCGCTGCACCTCGTGGATCACGGCGTCGGCGTAGGGCACGTGCGCCTGGTCGTCTACCGACGGTCTGCGGTGCCACCCGATCAGAGCTCAGCGTGGACTTTGGCTGCGGAGAAACAAGCGGGATGGGAAGCGGTTTCTGGTTGGGTGGGGCAGCAAGGACACGCTCGGTCTGGAGCTGAGACCTGGCTGGCGATTTCTACACCCGCCCTTTTAAAATATAGACAGTGGCTTGGATCACCCCCGACTGCAATGGGGGCAGGGCCGGATCCTGATCTCAGCCTCCCAGGGTCAATCCAGCGTCACCCCGACTCCAGTGGGGTTGGGGCCAGATTCTGATCTCAGCTCCCCTGGGGCCAATCCAGAGTCACTCCTGACTGCAGTGGAATCGAGGTGAAACCTGGCTTCAGTTCCCAACTCGGACACAGACTCCCTGTGTGACCTTTGGACAGTCACTCGACACCCCCCCCCCATCTCAGTTCCCCCTCTGCACGGGGGGCCTAACCATCCTCCAGTCGCCTGAGTGCCCGGCCCAGAGGGGGCCCCGCATTAGGAATAACTTGAGTCCCCCCTGCCCCCGCTGCTCACCCTGTATCTCCGGGTACTTCATGAGGAGGAATCCGTAGCGCAGGGTGGTGCTGACGGTCTCTGTCCCCCCGAAGAACAGGTTGTGTGTGGTCGTCACCAGGGTCTCCCCGTGGAAGCAGCTCGGTGGGTCCTGGTTTTCCTGCAGGGGGAGGCATCCACACCTCCTCACTGGGGGCTGCCCAGAATTCGAACCCACAGCGCTCGGGTATCTCCCACCGTCTCCCCTTAGTGACTGCTCCACTGATTCAGTTTCTGGGTCTACTGTTGCTGCCAGCTGAGGGGGCTAATCCCTTAGCTCAAGGAGCGAAGCCAGATGCTGTTAGCCCTGCATCTCCCCGGTTCAAAGCCCCCAGCTGGTGACAGCCTCTCTGAACAGCCAAGGGGCCCCGCAATGCTGGACTTTCAGGACCCCTGAAATATTTGACAGAAGCACTTCTCATTTGCTGGGGGAAAGGACTGGGGCCTAGTGGCTAGAGCACAAAGCTGGCCTCCAGGACTCCTGGGTTCTATCTGCAGCCCGGGGAGGGGGTCTGGTGGTTAGGGTGCTGGAGGGGGACAGAGTCAGGACTCCTGGGTTCCATTCCTGACCTGCCGAGTGACTTTGGGCAAGTCACTTCCCTGTCCCTCCCCTGCCTCAGTTTCCCCCACTCTAAACTGTCCTGCCTCCCAGGGTGGAGCGTCACGAGAATTAAGCCGTTCATGTTTGCAGAGCGCTCCTCAAACCGCGATTCTCCGGCAACGCTCCCCACATCGAGGGCAGGGCTGTGAGAATGTGATTCACCGGAGCTTGGGTTACAGCGCGGCCTCCCGCGACAGATTCAGACGGGGCCCCGGGGATGATCTCCAAGCAGCGGGAACCTGTACGGCTGGTGATGGAGCAGGGAGGGTCTCCAGACACACTCCCCTCCCTACGAGTGCGGGGAGCGACTCGGGGCTGCTCGCGGGCCACTGGCCTGCGCGGCGTGCGGCTCTGCGGGGCCGGGCCAGGAGCTCGTCCCTTCGAAGATCAACCCCAATCAAAGCCAGTCGGCTCCTGCAGGCCAAGTGCCAGCCAAGGTCAGAGGCGGGGGCGAGGTTTTGGGCGAGCTGCTTGAGGCTTTTCTAAGCCACTTTAAAGGCGAAGGAGCCAGGAAGGCTGAGGGGGGACAGGATACACCCGGCCCGTAGCAACAACGTTTCAGCCAACCCCCAAACAACGGGAACACCAAGGAACCCCAGCCAGGGCTTGCCCCACACTGTGCTGTGTGCTGTTCATTCCCGCAGCACCACCCCAGCCCCGGGCCAGGCGCTGTAAGGACACAAGACCACGAACCCCTGGGGCACCCAGAATCCCCTCCTCCAACCAAAATCGCCCCCCCCCTTTGTTATAAGGACATGGGAACAGCGAGAACATCGGCCCCGTGTCAGTAACAGTGTGCTGGGCACTATGGGCATGGGCACGGCTGGTTTTGTAAGCAAGTAGTTTTTAGGAGAGGTGAACCTGGGGGGTACGCAAGACACATCGGACTCCGGAAAGGGGGACAGGAGTCTGGAAAGGTTGAGAGCCGGGGACCTAGACCATCCCTGACAGGTCTTTGTCTGACCTGCCAGTGACGGCGATTCCACGATCTCTGGGCAATTTATTCCAGGTCTTACCCAGCCTGACAGACGGGAAGCTTTTCCTAATGTCCAACCTACGCCACCCATGCTGCAGTTTAAGCCCATTGCTTCTTGGCCTGTCCTCAGCAGGTAACGAGAACAATTTACCTCCCTCCTCCTTGTACCAGCCTTTTACCGGTTTGAGAACAGCCCCTGACCCTATCTGCACTGCAGAGATAATAGTGGCTTAATCGGCCAGGTGGTGAAGCCATAAGTAGCTAATAATTAACCATTGCTTGAGCCACAGAAATGCTCTGGATTGACAACTGTTAAGAACATAAGAAAGACCAGACCGGGTCAGACCAAAGGTCCATCCAGCCCAGTAGCCAAAGCCAGGTGCCCCAGAGGGAGTGAACAGAACAGGGAATGATCAGTGATCTCTCTCCTGCCATCCATCTCCACCCTCTGACAGACAGAGGTGAGGGACACCCTTCCTTACCCATCCTGGCTAATAGCCATTAATGGACTTAACCTCCATGAGTTTATCCAGTTTTCTTTTAAACCCTGTTATAGTCCTAGCCTTCACAACCTCCTCAGGCAAGGAGTTCCATGGGTTAACTGTGCACTGTGTGAAGAACTTCCTTGTATTTGTTTTAAACCTGCTGCCCACTAATTTCATTTGGTGGCCCCCACTTCTTATCTTATGGGAACAAGCAAATAACTTTTCCTTATTCACTTTCTCCACACCACTCGTGAGTTTATAGCCCTCGATCGTACCCTAGTAACTAGTTGCTGCTGAAACTGAGGCATCATAGCAATGCTGAGGTTGATTTTTTTAAAATTCAGTGGTATGTTTCACAGCCCCTCTAGTGCTAATAAAAAGGGAGATTCCCCACTACCTCAAACAGTGGGCCTGGGAAACATGCCCCAGCCTTACCTGTTCCTCAGGATCCTGAAGCCAAAGAACCCAGGAATTTGGGCATCCAACTCACCCTCCACCGCCACCCCCCCCACAGGCATCTGTCACTTTCATTACCCAGCCCATGGCCATTAGGTGCAGTCAGGGGCCCAACGCCCCGACCACAGCTGCTAATCTGCCCTGGATCAACCTGCAGTTCTCAGGCCTGGTGCTAAGGGGCAGTGGCAGGTGATGGAGAGTCACTCCCATGCTGGATTTTCCAGGGGAGCTCCAGCTACCGAGGGGTTAACTCCGCTCCCCCCAAACACACACACACGACCGCAGGCTGCTAATCTCAGCTGGGCCCCCATTCCACTACCGCCTGCGAAATCCAGGTGCTCAGGGGTGCAAATTCCCTGCCCCCCCTTCCAACGAGCGCCCCCTGCCCCGAGATCAGACTCCCCCAGGGCCCTCGGCTGAACCCCACCACCTGAGCACCTCCCAGTCATTAGCACATTAATCGCCCCAGAGACCGGCACCTGCTACATCCCAGGTGCGAGCAAGTTTGAAGTGAGGGGATAACCTGCTCCCAGGGAAGACGGCTCCTGCCCCGAAGCAGACGGGTTTTGCTCTCGGGGTGGTTTTATTCCCGTTTTATTCCCATCTGCCAGGCAGCAGGGTGCTCTGGCCCCCATCCTGCACCACGGGTAGATCTGGAGTGACTCCACTCAGTCAGCCAGGCTGATCCGGATTGACGCCGCTGTAACTGAGAGCAGAAATCCAGCTCTGGAGCCGTGGGGCGCTTTCCCTCCATGCCTTGACCCAGGGGGTAAGGGGAGTCTCTGGGCTGGTTTGCCCAACACCAGGGCCCCAGGGCAGGGCCGAGCGGGGAAGCTGGCACTGCCCGGGGATGAGCCACGGCCTCTGCCCGTGCCCGTTCTCAGAGCAACGGTGCCACCCCAGGGTCACTTGCAGCGTCTCACCCCGTCCCCGTCAGCAGATGGTGGCGCCTTGCGAATCGCTGCGGGCGGAAGGAGCTCGCCCGGCGCCCCGGCCCTTCCGTGCAGCTGTCATGTGCTGCCCGCCAGTAGCCAGGAGCAGCCAGGCCCCCGGGCAACCCAGCCCCTAGGGACAGAACCCAGGAGTCCTGGCTTCCAGCCCCCTGCTCTAACCACTAGACCCCACTCCCCTCCCAGAGCCAGGGAGAGAACCCAGGAGTCCTGGCTCCCAGCCCCCCCCCGCTCTAACCACTAGACACCATTCCCCTCCCCTTCCCTCTATCTAGCTGCCCCAAGCCCCAGTGCAAAGCCCTACATGGGCTTCCAGGGGTTATATCACTGACTGGTACCAGGACAGCACCACCATCCCAGAGCCAGGGAGAGAACCCAGGCGTCCTGGCTCCCAGCCTTCCCCCCTGCCACACCCTGGGCTCTAACCACCAGACCCCATTCCCCTCCCAGAGCCAGGGAGAGAACCCAGGAGTCCTGGCTCCCAGCCTCCCCCGCCCCACACTCTAACCACTAGACCCCACCATTTCAATGCTGGAGGCTGTATCCTGGCATCAGACCCCCCCTGCCCTGGGTGCAGTGCCCGCCGGGGGGGGGCGCTGGCCAGCTGAGCAGTGCCCAGGTTCCACCCCCCCCAAGTGCCGGTGGGGGGGGAATGGAGGAGGCAGGGGAGCGGCTGCCATGAGGTAACTTTATTTCAGTTCGGGGGAGTCGCTCTCCTCCCGCCCCAGTCTCTGTCTCTCACGCGGGATGAAATGAGCAGGAAGCTGGGGGTCTGCCCCCCCCGATCCGCCCTGAGGGGCCAGTCCCTCCCCCCGTCCTTGGCAGAGTCCAAGGCCCCCCACACCGATCCGAAGCCAGGGAGGTTCCCTGGCTGCCCCCGGGCAGCGCACAGGCGAGGGCCTGGGGGGGGCTAAGATTGGGGTCCCCCCTTGCCCACACTGGCCCCTCACCAAGCCCCTCTCAGCACAGGGCAGGAGGCAGCCCCCCAAAAAAACACGGGGTCCCCTCTGCCAGCCACCACCCCCCACACACACACCTGGAACTCCAGACGCCCCCAGTCTGCCGGCCCTCCCGGCTCACCCCCCCAGCCCCGCCCAGGGGCCCTGGCATCCCCCCAGTGCAATGTCCCCCCTCCGGTGCCCAGCCTGGAGGGCAGGGTGTTGGGGGGCTCCCCAGGCAGCTCCCCAGTCCGCGGGCAGCAGCAGCGGGCGTGAAATGGGCAAACCAAACACAGGCGAATAGCTACACAAAGTAGCTCCAGGCCAGGCCCCCTGGCCGGCTCCGCGTCCGGCTGATGCCCCTCGCCTGGGGCCCGGGCACCTGCACCCCCTTCTGCCCCGAGGCTGAAGGAGAGAGACGTGCTCTGGGAACGGGGCACGGGCCAGCCGCAGGCTCAGGGGACGGGGATGGGGCACGGGGCCTGCCCCCTCTAGGGGGTGCCAGCCCTGATCCAGCCCCATAGCGGGGGACAGGCTGGCTCACGGGGTCAGATGTGGGGGGCGGGGTCTGTCCCCTCTAGTGGGCGCCAGCCCTGATCTGCCCCAGAGCAAGGGCCTGGCTTGAGGGCTCAGGGAGGGGGGCCAGGGTCTAGCTACGCTGTAAGCCACTTACCCGGCTGGTATTTGCCTTTGGCTTCCGCGCCCTCCTGGCTCCAGACGGTGATGGCGTACCTGGGCGGACGGACCCAGAGACACACAGACGGGGGGCGGCCTGTTGGGGGCGGCCTGTTAGGTGCTGCGACAGAGACCCCCGGGGGTGGGGCTGTTCTACCTGGGGCAGCAAATGGCCCCCCATCACCCCCACAGCCTGAACCCCAAAGCCACAGTTGGCCCAGAGCCAGGAAAAGAACCTGCTCCCCACCCTCTAACCACCAGACCTACTCCCCTCCCAGAGTCAGGAAAAGAACCCAGGAGTCCTGGCTCCCAGCCCCTCTCCCACCCCCCCAAGCACTGGACCCCAGCCCCTGCTGCATCTGCCCCATGGGAGAGAACCCCCCCAGCCTGCGTCAGAGTCGAGGGGCCACAAAGGAATCACCCCCCCGAGCAGGCAGGGGGTCGCTGGGGGTAGCCCCCCTTTGCCCCCCCTTCCCTGTCGCTGGCCACAGAGGTGGGCAGCAGTAGACACCCCTCACCAGGGACTCCAGGCTGCTCCAGCGCCTGACTGAGCCCAGAGGCCACCCCGGCGTAGTGGGAAGTGTGTGTGGGGGGTCTTCTGTCAACTACACCCCTGGGGGGGGGTCCGTAATTCACCCCCCCACAGCAGCCCAGGGTCCCCAGTTCCACGCCAGCTGCACCTTCCCCCTACCCAGGGGACATGAGACAGAACTGGGGACAGTGGGGGGGACCCCAACCAGCCTCCTGCGCCCCCAACTCCAGCCCCCCGGGCCAGCCACCATCGTAGCCTTGAGTCACCCCAGCCGGGGGGGGGAATGTTCTGAACCAGCCCCCGCCCCCCCCCCCCGCGGCCGGGCGTCAGAGACACGGTGTCCTTGCTGCGGGAACAGGACACCCTGGCACGGGGCGGGGGGGGGGGAGGAGGGATGGACAGCTGGGGAGGGGGGGCAGCCGGGCGGGGTGTCTGAGCCGTGGGTGGCTGCAGCTCTATGGGGCGGCTGGGGGCTGCGTGGAGCCAGCGCCAATGAGGATTCTAGTGGGGGGGGGTAAACTGCCCCCCCATCAGCAGAAACAGCCACGAGCTCCCCCCCCCACGCCTGGCCCCACGAGCTGGTTCACATGGTGCCCCTCACTCCCGACCCGCAGCCCCTGTTGGCCCAGCCCTGACCTGCCAGACTGGGGGGGCGGTTTGAGGCTTTGAAGCCGTGGGGCTGGGGGCCCTGGAGGGCAGAGGAGGAAGGTCGGGGGGGGGCTTCTTTCTGCTCCCCCCCCCCCCGCACACACAGGATTCAATCTCAGCGGCTGCTCAGCCACCCCCTCCTCTGCCTGCCCCCCCTTCCCCCCAGCCAAGGGTCCCTGCCCTGCGGGCCTGCCCCACATCACCCCGTGCCGCCCAGCCCCCAGCCTGGCAACACCACGGGGCACCATGCCAGGCAGGGCTGCCCAGGGGCCTCTCGCCTCCGCCAGGCACTGAGAGGGAGGGACGGGGCCCGGGAAGGGGGCAGCGCTGGGGGGGGGGGGTGGCTGAGAAGGGTTCAGTGACCCCAGAGGACCTTTTTCCAGTGGGGCAGGGGGGATGGGGCCTTTCCCCTCTGGGGGGCACTGGCCCCGATCCAGCCCCAGGGCTGGGGACTGGCTGGCCCGGGGACCTTCCCCTCCTTGGGAGCCCTGCCTAGTCCCATTGGCTGGCTGGGCCGAGATGAGTTTGTCAGGTCTCAGCCCCCGCCCCAGGGAGGTCCCTCAGGCAGGGGAGGGGCAGGGGTGTGTGAGGGGTCTCCGGTCTCCAGGGTCCCATGGGACCAGTGCAGCCCCCCCACCCCACCCCACTACCTCCAGCTGCATGGAAAGGGTTAACACCTCCCCTCCCAGCTGCAGTGAGCCCTGCCTGCCCCCCCAGCACTGGCCCCCCACACACACATTAGGTCACTGGGGTTAGAACTGGCAGCCCAGAGCAAAGGATTAAAAGGGCCAGGGCAGCCTAGGGCAGTGGGGCCAGGACTGGGGAGAACCACATCCCGCTGGGCCCAGGGGGAAACTGAGGCACTGGGAGGGGACGGGCTGTCCTTAAAGTCACACAGTGAGTCAGCCATAGAGCCAGGGACAGAACCCAGGTGTCCTGGCTCCCAGCCCCCAGCTGCATTAACCCACTAAATCCCACTCCCCTCCCAGAGAACCCAGGAGTCCTGGCTCCCAATTCCCTTACTCTAAAACAGTAGACCCAGGAACATGACTCAGTTACTATGCACTTGACCCCACCCCAGAGGCAGCTGCATCTCAGCACCGGGGGAGGGGTCCCCGTAGAACCAGCTGCCCCCGCGTCCCACCCCAGAAGTGGCTGCATCTCAGCAGCGATGCGGGGCCCTGAGATCGCCTAGGCGTGGGAGAAAGGCCCCCAAGCACAGTGCGAGTGCCTCCTTCCCACCCCGGTGCCTGCCCCATGGACTCGCTCCCACTCCCCACCTCCCCCTGCCCCAGGAGTTCCAGGAAGGCGCGGGGGGGGGGGGGGGCGGGAAATAGGTTTCCTGGTAAACAGGGATCGGATGGCAGGCGCGGCTGGGAGCCAGCTCCCATCCCCCTGGCTCCGGGCTGGGGGGCAGTCATGGGGCAGGGGGTCCCTTGCCCACTGCAGGGGGCTCTGATTCCCCTCCCCCAAGGGGATTTTCCTGGAAGGCCAACAGGCCAGAGACTGGGGTAAACAGCCCCACTGCCGGGACCCCAACAGCTTCACACACACACACACACACCCCCGCAGCTGCCTTCCCACCCCCCAACACACACACAGCCCCTCCCCACACAGGGTCACCCGGAAACAGCCCCATGGGAGATGGGATTTCCCCATAAGAATTCAGCACCCACCCCCCAATGAGGCACTAGGGGGCGCCAGGGTGCAGGGGGCAGGGTGAGGGGCTCAGTGGGGGGTACAGGGCTGGGGTGGGGGGTGCCAGGCTGAAGCAGGAAGGGTGAGGGGATCAGTGGGGGGACACCAGGGGGTAGGGTGGGGGGCTCAGTGGGGGGTGCTGACAGCCCCATGCCCCAGTGCAGCAGTGCACACAGTCTTCCCAGACCCCAGGACCTCTTCCCCACAAGTGGGGGGGACTCGCCTTCCAGGTCTGGGCCAAACCCACACGCAGGGTGATCTTGTGCTGCCTGCAAGAGACCCGCTCTGGGGCTTCGGCCACAGGCAGGATCCTTCTTCCCTTCCTTCCCCCGTGCTCCACCCCAGAGGCAGCTGCATCTCAGAGCCAGCTAAGGGCCCCCCCCATGACCATTGCCCTTTTAAAGACCCCCACCTCCCACCCGCAAGGCTGGAGAGTTGCTGTCTCAGTGGGGCAGGCTTGGCCTTGGCCAGCGCAGCACGTCCCGCAGGGGAGGGGTCCCCCCCACCCCAGGGCTCGCAGCCAGCCCAGGGGTAACCTAAGGCCAAAGCCAAGGCAGCGCTGGGGCAGGTGGGAGCGCAGGCCTCTGGCAAACCCAGGCGTCCTGAGCAGCTAGCTTAGCCCCCGGCTCCCAGCCCCCGACTCTAACCACAAGCTCCCCCTTCCCTCCCCTCCCCTCCCAGAGCTGGGGAGAGAACCCAGGAGTCCTGGCTCCCAGCCCCCTGCTCTAACCACTACTCCCCCTCCCCTCCCCTTCCCTCCCCAAGCTGGGAGAGAACCCAGGCGTCCTGAACCCCAGCCCCACCCCCCATTCCTACCTCTGCTACCAACTCAAGCTGTGACCTTGGCCACATCCTCTCCCTGTCCCATGCCTCCGTCCCCGTCCCCGTCCTGGGAAGTGCAGCCCCCAGGCCGGGGCCTTAATTCACACCAGGGACCCCATTGGAAGATTCCTTCTCCGGGGACCTGACTCACCCACCAACACACCCAGCCCCAGAGCCACCTGCTGTCAGGCCAAAATGCAGCCACCTCTGGGGTGAGGCCAGAGAAGGACCAGGACTCCTGGGTTCTCCCCCCGGCTCTGGCAGGGGAGGGGGGCTAGTGGCTAGAGCAAAGGGGGGCTGGGAGCCAGTTAACTCCCACTTGGTGTTAGGTGCCCGAACACCTTTCAGGAGCTGGGCCCAAGGGTCTGGGCCAGAGGAGACCCGAGTTTGCCCAGCCCGCTGGCTCCCGAAGCCCCGCAAGGGTGGCATTATGCTGCCCCCGCCCGCCCGGAGAAAGTACTGAACACAGCGTGTGAGCCACAGACACAGAGGGGCTGGCGACAGCCAGACCCCAGACCCCCATCCTGAGCCACGTCCCCACCCCCTGCCCGGGGCTGCCCCATTCTTAGCCCGCCCTGTGCAGAGGGCGCGGTGTTCTGCCAGCCAGAGGGCAGGGGGATCGCTGACCAGGGGGTCAATCTGTGCCCCGGCTGCTCCCCGCTCACAGCCCTGCCGCCCACACAGGCAACTGCCAGCATCCGGTTGAGATAGGAAAACAGAGGCAGCACCCAGCAGAGACTTGCAATGGGTCTGTGAGAAAGCTGGGGAGAGAACCCAGGAGTCCTGGCTCCCCCGCTCCTCTAACCACTGGCCCCCACTCCCCTCCCAGAGCCGGGGAGAGAACCCAGGAGTCCTGGCTCCCCCGCTCCTCTAACCACTGGCCCCCACTCCCCTCCCAGAGCCGGGGAGAGAACCCAGGAGTCCTGGCTCCCCCGCTCCTCTAACCACTGGCCCCCACTCCCCTCCCAGAGCCGGGGAGAGAACCCAGGAGTCCAAGCGGCCAGCGCCGGGCTCACCTTAGTCCTGCCGTTGACGAGGTTCCTGCCCAGGTGCCCGGCACACTGCAGGATCAGCTGGTCGATGCTGCCCATGAGGGCCCTGGCAGCCTGGCAGCCGGGCTCGCGCCCCTGCACCCAGGCGATCTGGGCCCCGCGGACACTGGCTCGCCAGCTGCCCGTCCTGGAACTTCCCCCTGCGGCCCAGCCCCTGCACCCCGGGCGCCCGGCGCCTTGCCCAGGAACCCGTCCCTCACGCAGATCCCGTAGTCGCTCAGGCAGGGCACCATGTCACCCAGCGCCAGCCGCCCGCTCGGCCCCGCCCCGGCCCCCCGGCGCCACCGGGCCGGCTCGCCAGCCGCCGAGTCCCTGTTCTCCAGCCGCCTCCACTTGGGCGCCCCGAGCAGCCGGCCCCCGGCGTCCCCCTCCAGCAGCCACTTGGCCAGCAGGACGGCGGCCCCCTCGCTCTGCAGTGGGCACAGCTCCCGGGTGGGCCGCGCCGGGCCAGGCTGGCAGGGGCCAAGCCGTGGGGGAGGCCGGGGCCCAACGAGCTCTCCGGGAAGCCCCCCATGGCGGGCCGGCTCGGCCCTGGGCACCAAGGCTCTAGGGGTGGTGGGCGATGCGGCTTCTGCATGGCAGCTGGGTCACGTCCATGGTGCCAAGCGGTGGCTGCCCCCGGGCTGGGGATCGGGGGGTCGCCAGGGTCCCCACCGGGGCGGGGGGGGATCTTCTGCAAAGACAGCAGGATTTAGGCCAGGGATCAGGGTGGGGGGGTCACCGGGGTCCCTGCAGGGGGGGAAGGGGGGAAATCTGCAAAGACAGCAGGGGTAAGGCTGGGAAGAGGGAGCTGGGGGGAGTCGAGGCAGGGAAAGGGCCGGGGGGGGGGCTGCAGTATCCAAACTGCATTCTGGCTGCCCAGTCTCCAACCCTCCCCCCTTCTACCCCCCCAAGGCGGGCGGGAGATGCGGGGGGACACTGAGCCCCAGATCCCAACCCGCAGGTGCGTCCAGCCCCTTCCAACAAGAGACAGACCCCCCCAGGTCCCACTGAGGGGACCCAGGCACCCCCCTTTAAAGTATCAGCCCCACCCGACCCCCAACACCTCGCAACCCCCCCAGACAAACACCCCAAGGGCAGCGAACAGCCGGGGAGGGGCAGGGAAACAACCCAACCGCGTAGCAGGTGCAGCCCTCCTCTTAAACGGGGGGTGTCTCCCCAGCCCCCCAGATCTCCCCCCGGCCCATCACCTTGCGCCCTGGGCTCGGGGCTTCCTTCCCGTCCGGACACCAGGTCAACCCGGAGCCTGTCCCCGCCAGAGAACTCCCCCAGGCCAGCCTGCGACGCTCGCGGCCAGGGATCGGGACCCTGGAAGTCTGAAAAAGCAGCTCCCGTGCGCCATGCCAGGCTGGTCGTGCGGTGCACCTGCCCCCCCTTCGTTGCGCCCGATGGGGGAGGAGAGAGGGGCTCAGGGGGGCCCTTTCCCTGCGGGGGGAGGGTGGGACGGAGCTCGGGCCGCCAGGGGCCCACAACCACAGGGACGCCTCGCCCGACGCTGGGATGCGGGGGCTGGTTACAGAGCCTCCTGGCAGAAGGATTTGGCCCGGGAAGTGCAGGACGCTGCCTCCATGAGGGGGGCGACAGGCTGCGAGCCGAGGGGCGGCCCTAGAGGCCACTGCTCCAGGCCCCGGGGCAGAGACCTGTCTTTGTGCAAAAGCAGCAGCCGGCTCCGGAGCTCCCCCAAGCAGCAACCCCCCAACACACAGAACTATCTACCCCTCAGCAACCAGGCTGGCAGGGGCTGCGGATCGGGAGCGAGGGGCACCGGCAGAGCTGGGGGGGCCCAGGGCCAGGCTGGCAGGGACTGTGGGTCGGGAGCGAGGGGCACCGGCAGGTCTGGGGGGCCCAGGGCCGGGCTGGCAGGGGCTGTGGGTCGGGAGTGAGGGGCACCGGCAGGTCTGGGGGGCCCAGGGCCAGGCTGGCAGGGGGGGGGGGGGCTGTGGGTCGGGAGCGAGGGGCACCGGCAGAGCTGGGGGGAGCCCAGGGCCAGGCTGGCAGGGGGCTGTGGGTCAGGAGTGAGGTGTACCAGCAGGTCTGGGGGCCCAGGGCCGGGCTGGCAGGGGGCTGTGGGTCAGGAGTGAGGGGCACCGGCAGGTCTGGGGGGCCTAGGGTCAGGCTGGCAGGGGCTGCGGGTCGGGAGTGAGGGGCACCAGCAGAGCACAGAGATGGCACCCGGCCACTCCCAGGCACGGCAGGAGCTGGTCGCCTTCAGCCTTGCTGGTTAACTGCCCCCCCAACCCTGCCCGTGCCCCTCGCTCCCGACCACAGCCCCCTCAAGTGAGCCAAAGCCTCGGCCCATCGCTAAACAGGGGCCGGGCCAGGCAGGCAAAGGCAGCTGGAGGAAGCCAGCCCCTGGGGGTCCCAGCCTGGGGGTGCTGAGAAATCACCAGTCGTCTGAGCAGAGGCCGGGTTCGGACGGGAGGAAAATCCCGGGGCCGGCTCCCCCCGGGGTTATAAGTAGCCAGGATGTCGGCAGCAGCTCCCTCTACCCGGAAAACATGCAGCGAGTGGGGGGCAGCTGGGGTGGCCGCAGCCCCTCGGGTCACTCGCCCCTCGCCTGCCCCAGCTGCCTCCTTGGGGGGGCAGGGGGGGAGCTTTCCAGATGAGAGCCCCCCTGCCAGCCGCTGCCCGGAGCGCCAGCAAACTGCAGCCATTGCTGGGGAGGGGGGCAGCCGTGCAGAGCAGAACGGGGCTGCTCAGTCCTGACCTGCAACCCCCAGCTGCAGGGGGGGGGGGCAGATGGAGCCAGGGGAACCCTCTGCTCTTATGGGAAATGGACTGGGGGGAGGGGGCTGATCCTGTAAGAACATGGCCCGGCTGCAGGGCACGGGCGCCCACAAGGACCAAGGTGCAGTGAGTGGAGAACATGCCCCAGGCCCTCCCCTCCCCAGCCCCCTGCAGGTGCAGCCCCACCCCACCGAGGCAGGGCTTATACCTGGGACGTTCCTCTCCGCCCCCTGTGGGAATCCTGCTGAGCTCTCGGGCAGGTGAGATCCTGTGGCGGTGAGTTCCCCAGACACGCCCTCCCCTTGAATCCAGTTTAAACGTTTCCTTTCCCCTCACAGCACCTGGGCCCTTGCTTTGCGCATGAGGGTGACTGGTGCCGATACGCCTTATCTCAGAGCACGTCACAGCGGGGCCGGAGCGTTACCCCTTTGCACATGGGGAAACTGAGGCACAGATAGACAGGACCTGCATGAGGTCAGCCAGCCCCTGGCAGAGCCAGGAACGGAACACAGGGCTCCCGTGTCCCCAGCCAGCACTAGCCCCCAGGCCACGCTGCCTCCCCTGGAACAGGTCTAACCTACCCCCCTGGCCCGCTCGTCTGCACTTGCAGTTCAGCTGTACCTGTGAAGAGCCTGAGCTCAGACCAGGCACCAGTCCCCCATTCCTTGCGCTCTGCCCTCGGGGCAGGCCTGACCCCCGCCGCCCACAAGGGGGTAGTTTCCACTCTAACAACGCCTTGCCGGGCCTCCTGTATCCCCTGCTCCATGAGCCAAGCAGCCCTGGGCTCCGTCCCTGGGCCTCTCCCATGGGGTGGGTGACAGGGTCCCTGCCATGGGATGGGCAGCCTGCTCACAGTGGGGCAGCCCCCCTTTTCCTGGCCTGGGGGAAGGATTCCCGCTGTCCCTTCCTGCTGAGTGGCCCACGCAGCCAGCTTCAAGCCCGAGGTGGCCCAGGAAAGCCGAGGCAGGGGGGTAGCCGGCAGCCTCGTGAGCCTGGGCAGCAGAGCTCAAACTGGCAAGTGGGAGCCGGGGAAAGAGCCTGGGCCCGACAGCCAGTGGGAAGGGTGCAGGACAAGGGGCGTGAGACCCCCATGAGCCCAGCTCAGGGAGCCACTAGCCCCTCCAGCCCACTGAAGGACTCCCTTGTGTGACAAGAGGGAGGTTTTCAAGCCCAGCTGCTCTAGCATTGGGAGGGGAGCATGGGGGCACCCGGGGGAGGGGGGAAGAAATCTGCTCCCCCAAAAGCAGGGCTCGGGGCTAGTGTAGCTGTCTGAGCAATCCCTGGCCAGGTTGGCCTCCCCCAGTCACCCGCCACCACAGCCTTGGCTTTACGACACGCTTGGAAAGAGAAGCTGTGTCCCCCTGCGATGCGGCGCCCGGCCCCACACAGGCCCGGGCAAGGACTGGCTGCAGTGAGGTTACATCTCCCGGGGTTCCCCTTCCATGCTCAACACCCCTGGAAATCCGCTGGTTTAAAACACGGGCTGGGGTGAACCAGGGCCTGATTCGAACGCTAGGGGGAAGTCGGGATTTGAAACGGACGGGGACTTGAAACGTTGGAACTTGTTGCCACAAGAGGTAAGAAGACCCCCCCTGCCCCCCAACCAAAGGCCAGACATTTCTCCCAGGGAACCTCCCCTCCGGGTCCCAGCCCCACAGGGATGGGGCGCAGCCCCTCTTCCCCCAGCCAGCCACAGGAGGTGGGGGCCAGCCCCTCTGCTTGGGAGATGGACGGGTGGCTGCCTGGGCCGGGCTGGCCAGCTCTGGGCACACCGCAGCCTGGCAAACCTTAAAAGATGCCAGGCTGAGCCTGAGGAGACCTGGGTGCAATTCCCAGCTCTCTCTCTCAGGGGCTGTAGGATCACGGGCCAAGCTCTGGCTGTCTCTGTGCTCCCCCTACCCAGCTCTGCCACGCTGTGACCTGGCCCGTCAGCTCGTTGCCGTGAGGGCTACGTACAGCGCCTGGCGCCAAGGAGACGCAGACCGTGGCCAGGACCCTGGTTAGCCGCAATCAGATGCCAGGAGGCCGGAGATGGAAAACGTTAATACTTTATGTACGAGTCACATTGTCACAGCCTGAAGTCGGAGGGATTTTTCTTTTAAAGAGAAGAAATTGCACAGGGTGTGAATTATAAACCGGTTTGGATCCAACCATTTCTACCCACCCTGCCCCAGCTTCAGGAGGAATCGGACGGAGCCGCGCTTGCGTCCTCCCGCCTGTGCCCCGGGACGGGCCAGGCAAGAGCCGAGTGCGAGGCAAGCCACAAAGGCAGCAGCCTCCTGTCCTCCCCCACCTAATAAATAACAGCAGCTTAAGCGTAAGAACACAACGGACAAACCCACCCAGCCCCCTCGCCTGGTTGGGCCGGGGCTCACGCAGCCACCCAGCCGGGGGTCGCCCCACCCCTCCGAACAGCGGCCCGATCTGTGCTCCCCTCCCCGCTCAGACAGGAGCCTTTCAAAGGGACAGAGATAGCCCAGGGCTCTCTGGAGCCACATGAAGCGGGGTGAAGGTGACTGGCTCAAGATGGATGTGCTGGGCTCCCCGTCCCCCCACCATGCACAGCACTAGCCCCAGCCCACGCAGGACACTGGAGGGGCCTCACCAGTGATACCCAACTCTCTCTACCCACGGGCTGATCTGAGAATTTCAGGACCAGAGACGGGCCGTAGGCACGCACGGCTGACCACATAAAATGAAAGAAAAATGTAAATACAGGCCTTGGTTGACAAGGGAAGGAGGAGCATTTCTATTGTCTGACGAAGTTTGTAAATGGACATTAGCCCCCAGGTGTGTCACTCTCGAACAGGAGAGGGGACAGCAGTGATCTTGGGCAAGCTTTGTGAGCGGTCAGGGCAAGGCAGACGCCCTGGTGAAGATGCTCATCCGGCAGGCAATTGGGATGTTGAGTTTTTCGCAATCTTCCTGGTGGAAAACCCAGGTTGGCAGAGGGACGTTGGTCCGAACATAGTTAAAAGACTGCCTGAATCTAGCCGTCCATCCCGAACCTGGTCAGCATATTAAGCTCAGAAAGCTGGGAATGGAAGACAGGGAATGGATCACTTGGTGATTCCCTGTTCTGTTCGTTCCCTCTGGGGCACCCTCCAGCACTGGCCACTGCCAGAGGACAGGACACTGGCCTAGACGAACCTTTGGTCTGACCCAGTCTGGCCGTTCTTCTGCTATCACAAAGACCCACTGCTCTGAATTTTGCCAAGACAGCTGAGCGCTGGAGCCTTACAATCGTCAACTGACTCAAGAATGTTCTTTGCTTGAGAAGGGCGAGGTCCCTCGGGCACAGACAAACGGATGGTGAATAAAAGCAAATGCTCTGGGATTTTAATTCTTGCTCAGGTGATGTAGGAATTCTTGCCTCGTCTTCATCTGACTGTCACCGGTCACAACAACGCGCAATGTGGGGAAGTGAAACATCCTTTTAAGTCGCTCGGAAAGGCACACGCTTCTTCAAAGAGCTCCCCGGCCTGGCTTGCACGGCCTCAGCGCAGCCCACTGAGGGAATTCAAGTGACCAGTCATATCATACAGAGACGCTACCTGGGACAGCATTCGTAAATTCCAGGGCCTCACAAGCTTGGGCTTGTGGTTGGAAAGAAAGTCCATTATTTCTTCCTAAAGGGCACAAAACCTCTCTCCGACGCGTCTTCTATTCGCAAGCGAATGCCGCCGGGCGGCAAGAGGTCCCCATATTCGGCTGAAAGGACTGGTAAGACAGCTTGGGAAAGACAATGCTGCAAGCTAGAAGCTGAGCGTATGGAGGTCGCTGAGCTCATCACGGTACAGTAGACTCTCGTTACGAACCCCGACGCTGAACAAATCGTTACGGTTCTTTCAAAAATTTACAGCTGGACATCAACTTAAGAGAGCTTTGAAACGTCACTGTGCAGGAGAAAAACGCTGCTTCCCTGGATTGTTTTAGGGGTTGACTTTTAACCCAGCACTGTCCCGTATTTGCCTGGGGGGTGGGGGGGTGGGTGTGGGGGCGCGCGCTGCCCGATTGGTAGTTCTGGTTCCCCTGAGGCGTGCGGCTGACTGGTCAGTTAGTAACTCTGAGCTTCTGCTGTAACTTGGTTTTTCCAAGTCCTGACACAACTCACCGCATAGGACAGTCTGGTGAACGATGCAGTGAAGTGTATTTAAAGAAAGGCGTATCGCTCTGAAACATGGGGCAATGCCCGTCTCTCTCTCTGTCACGGAGGGCCCTCTGTCTGTACAAGACAGACAGTTTGGTTTAGCTCTGCAGAAAGTTGGGTTTTTTTCCCTCCCAAAAAAGCCTTTTACCTTTTCAAAAAAGGCTTTCTCCTGTGGGGTAGGTTTCAGCACAAAAATTCTTCCTCGAAAATTTCCCCATCGCAAATTCCAGCAAACAGCGATAGCCGGGCAGCGTCACTTCAATCGCTCAGTTCGTCCACAGCCAGAGACGGGTGTTTGGCATTTTGTAAATCGGAAAGCAGTGCTGACAAACCATCCTCAAATTACCCCGTCTTCGCACTGCCGTGGCCTCAGACAGGGGAACCTGCTTCTTACGGTTCACAAGGTCACCTGTGTTTTCACCTCCAGCACAAGGCTCCCCGCATGTCCAGCGTGCACTGCCCAAGCTCGGCAGCCAGGAAAGGCCTTTTCTTTTGTGAGTTCCCACGTTCTCTGAAGAGAAGCAGCTGCTGCTTTTCCCTGCAGTTGCTGATGGGGCGAGAAGGACGTTTGAAGTGCAATCCAAAGCCTGCAGATTTTCCATTTTCTCACGTCTTACAACACGGCCGGAAGGACAGGCCACGTCCACATTACCCTGATTCAATGTGGCGACCTTCCGGACAGACACAGCAGTTTGGCATGTTAAACACACAGGTTGGGGCTTTAGACGAGCCAGCGTAATAAAGAGAAAAGCCCCCCGTTCAGTTGGGGTTCAAAGCTCGGTTTCCCCTGCCAACTTGGTGACGTTTACACCCAGCCGCATTCGTTTGCGGCTCCATTTCCATCGCTAACGAGAAACCGGGCGGCGGCCATGCGCTGTTCAGCGGATGCTCTCGCCAGAACGTCAGGCCGGTAAGTCGCTTGCTAAGGCAGAGCATCACGGATTGTGAATTCAATTACACGCTTTTTGTAAGGCGAGCTGGGGGGCCACATTTGGCCTGGGGGCCGCCTGTTGAGTATCACCGGTTTGGCAGTTACAGCAGGAGGGCCGTCTGGGTCGTGCAATGGTTTGGGCCGAGATTAGGAGAGCGCGACCGGGGCCGCAGCCCAGCGGCTGTACGCGGGGGCCAGGGGTCACTGCTGCCAGAGGGATGGGGAAGGGGTGCAGGCCGGGGGCGGCACGAGGGCAAAGCAGGCGGGCTCTGGCTGCTCAAGGAGTCTTTGTGCCACTGTCACCACCTTCAAATCCAACCCCGCAGCCGTGGGCCGGAGTCAGCGACGGCTGCCAATTGCTCCAGCTAGACAGATTCTGTCCAGGGCGAGCCCCTCTCAGCCCGCTGAGGGCCATTAGTGCCAGCGGTGGACAGGAGCCCCAAAGGGGCCAGACAGGAACCAGAGGCCGTTAACATTCAGAGCACGAGGTGATTTAGGAGCCCAGATCCTATTGGCTTTCAACAGGCCTTTGGAGCTTGTTGCTTCGGCACTCTTGAAAATTTGACCCTTGGTCTGGACCCAGCGGGGCCGGATTCGAACCGGCCCCCTCGAGGGGAAGCTGCTGTTGGCACGTTATCCCGGCTCTGGTTGTGGCTCAGCCAGCCTGGACTTTCCTGCCCGGTATGTGGCTTGGTTTGAGATGCAGATGTGCCATTACGGCTGCCGTGGGGTTTTGAACCCCAGATGTACACGCCCACCCAAGGAATTCAGCGCACGAGCCGCGGAGCCCGAGGGAACCTCCCGCAGGAGCTGGGACTAAACCCAATGGCAGAGCCGGCTCCTGCCACGGACACTTCAATGGTCCAGTATTAAGCTTACAGTATTTCAAAGGGGACGCGCTGTCTGCCCAGCCCCGACTGTCTGCTACACCAGAACATCACGCCGCCCGGGGCAGGGGAGAGTTCGCAAGCACAGTGCTCGGGAGCGCAACAGCCGGCTGGCGGAAAAGCAGCGAGACAAGGTGGAGCCCAGGATATGGCGGAGACAGACCCCAGCTTCAAAAGCAAAACCAGTGTAACAGAAATCCAAGCCCAGCCTCGACCGCCCAGCAAGCCGCTCGCTGGGGGGAACCGCTCACGAGCTCCCCTGCGTGACAAGCGCCCTTTGGTTTGTGACAGGCAAACCCCGTCTCCACGCTGTCCCCCAGGCTAAGAGACACCCCCCACCTACCCAGGGCAAAGCCCCAGCCTCGCTCCCAGCAATGGGGTAGCAGGAGACAACCCCAAATGAACCGTTTCACAAGGAGAACCCGCTCCCCCCTCGTCCTGGTGTTAACGCAGAGGGACTCTCCTACCCAGAGCAGCAATTAGCTACGGGAGGCTGGCCGGGGCCCCGTTACTTCATCCTTTGAAAGTCGTTACTGAGACGGGCCCGTGACAGCCTCAGGTTCGGGGGGGACGCGCAGCGGGCAGGGAGCGTCCGACAGAAGACACTGTGGCTGCATACAGTCAACGGGCAGTTTGCCACAGAGTCCCAGGGCTCGTGGGCCGAAGGGGCGGGCAGCGCACTGCTCGGAGAGGGAGCGTGCGGCTCGGGAAGCAGGGGGCTCTGCGAGCGAGGCACGTGGTCCTGGGAAGAGAAGAGAAAGTGCTTGAGCCCCGGAGGGTCCGACTGGCCACGGTCCAGCGCTGGGGAGACAGGAGGAGAGAAGTCAGTCTCGGCGGCCGACATGCATGGCCAGGTCCCGGGGGGCTTAGGGGATTTGACAGCTGCCTGGGAGGTGGGGCAGGGGCTGACCCCTGGAGTAGGGCAGAGAGAGACACGCCCCAGCCTCTCCACCCCCCCAGCACCACGTGGGATCCAGGCCTGCCCCACTGCCAGGGGGCTGTGGAGGGGGTTCGCTCCACAGACCACCAGCCCTTCGGGTCTGGACAACCCGGCCCCCCCAGGACACCACGGCTGAGCCAGCACGCATGGTGGCTTCTCAGCTCCCCCGCACCCCGCACCAGCTTACTTGCAGACAGATTCTTGGGGGCCTTCGCCCTTAGCAGCTGCACGGCTGCTTGCTCTGGGTTTGGGCCCCACGGGGCTGTCTCAGGTGGCGCAAGGAGGCATCTCCGTACTGGATTCCTGAACCCATCCTCTCGGGGTCCAGCTCACCTAGCCAGACAGAGCAGCACTCAGAATGGGGGGACACAACCGTCCCCTCCCCCTCCGCCACCTCCCCTCGTTCCCCCAGATTGCGTGGGGCTGGGAGGGAGGAATCTTTACCCAGACCCTTCTAGGCCAGCCGTGGGTACGCCTAGCCGGGCAACTCCTGGGTGTAGTCACTTAACAACAGACTCCAGACTAACTACCATCAAGGAGATCGATCCATGGCGGGCTGGGAGAGCAAACACCCTGCGGGCACCAGAGAAACCTTGCCCCGGACTGCAGGGGGCATGGGGCAGCTGAGCACCCCTGGAGAACTGGGCCATACCCACATCTCCTGCCCTACTTCAGGACATGACTGGGGGCCCCTGGTCTCAGCCAGAGCCCGGACCATAATCTGTCTCTATCACTCATTATTAATTATTATTGGAAACTGGTTTCCCTTCCTGGTCAAGATGTTCAGGCTGGAAATGCTCAACGGGGAAGCGTGGGGCTGTGTCACGCCCCTCGGTGCCCCCTGCCATCTCCAGCTTTCGTACCTGATTCAATTTTGTTTAGTATGGTCCTGGCACATTTTAAGAAAGCTTCTTCTACGTTCTCCCCGGTCAGCGCGCTGGTCTCCAGGAACATGAGTTCTGCCGAGGCGAAGAGAGAAACGGCAGGAAGGTAACCGGGGTGCGGCTCACAGCACGATTCGCCTCGGCCCACACGCTAAGCACGGGACATCCCCAGCTGGGTATCCCGAGACAACGCAACTCCTCGCTCGGGATCCAGCCCCGCCAACACACAGAAGAGAGCAGTTCGCTCTGCAGCGGGACCTGCAGGGCACGGTCCATCCTCGCCTCTCATACCCTGGGCAGCCTGTGTGGAGTGGGGCCCGATCCAGCGCCACCCACTGAACACACGAAATCCGGTGCTTCCAGTCTGACACCGTGCTCTAGCCACGGAGTCCGAGCGCCCCCTCCTGGCCAAACAGCACCAGTGCCGGGGAGCCATTCCAGCAGCTCTTCATCTAGCGCCCTTGGCCCCGGGGCTCTGCGGAGCTCAGTCGCCCGCCCCGGGGGTCCAAACACAGCTGCCGCCCTCCCCCCGCAGCGCTCAGCAACAAAGGAGCACCCTGCCTCCAAGGGATGCTTAAGGAGGCAGGACGGGATTGGGGCAGTACCCCAGGGCTGATGACCCCTTTTGGGGGCCATGGGATTTTAATGCTGGCATGGCAAGGACTGCGGTGTTACCGCTCATGGGAAAGACAGCTCCTGGTAGCAACACCGCACCCACCAGCACCCACTCTGGGGCCAGCCCAGACTGCCAGGGGAGAGCACTCCCTGCCAAGCCCCCCGCCCCCTAGCACTGCCCTGGGGCCAGCCCTGCCTGCCCCCACACCACTTCCATAGTTCCTTACCCTGCTGGACCTGGCCTGGCTGCGGGACGCTTTCACACCACTAAGCCCTGGTGCCATGGCAAAGCAGGTAGGGGACAGGAACATCCCCAAGGAACACCCCCACCCCACATGGAAAGGGCAAGGCAGGACCATGTGAGAGTCAAAACTAACGAGCCCCCAGAGCAGCCCCTACCCGGGCCCCGGCTTGGTACCGTTCTCTTGTGCGAAGCGGGAGGCTTCCAGGAAGGTCACTTCCCGGTCCGCATCCAGGTCCTTCTTGTTCCCGCAGAGGATGATGACGATGCTGGGGCTGGCGAGGGTCCGGGCGTCCGTCAGCCAGTTGGTCAGCGCGTTGTAGGTCTCCCGGCTGCAACACAGGACAGAGGGGGCAGCAGGGGGCATCCGGCAACCGGGCACTTCTCGCAAATCCCAGATTAGGGGCTGCCCTCCAGGCCTAGGCCCTGCTCTTCTCAACCCATTTATAAGACTCGTGTCCATCTCCCCACCACAGGGGGTTGCTTGACGCCTGCCAGAGGGGTTGGCCGAGCAGGGCACTCCCTGTGCGATGCCCGCTGCTGGCACGGACCTCGGCCGCGGGCTGAGCAGACCCGGAGGGCATTCCTACGTGGCGAAGTCGAGGGGCAGAACAGAACCAATTCAGCTCAGCCGCTATGATGGAACCGGACCAGCTCGCTGGGGCAGATGCTCAGGCCAGAACAAGGGGAGCTTGTTCTGTTTCCATTTCGCAGGCTTTAGTCTAGTTCTGTCTGGAAACCCGCCCCGTTCCTGGCAGCCCCAGGTGAGGAGGGGGCCCCAGGGCATCGCTCCGAACGCCAGCCGGGAGAGGAGCCGCCAAGGACACCCACCTGGTGATGTCGTACACCAGCAGGGCCCCGGCAGCACCGCGATAGTAGCTCCGAGTCACCGACCTAGAGGGCGAGGAGAGAGACCGAGTGATCAGCAGGGCCAGGAGCCCACTGGGAACCGCGGGTCTATTTCGGGTCAGCTCCGCATGAGGCCGGCCGGGGACATGCTGGGAGAACAGGCCTGTGGGACAGGGGGCGGGGGAAGGCATCGGGCGGCTGGGTAATGGAGGAGCCGAAGGGACAAGCAGGGTACGAGGCGGGAGTCTGGCGCCACCCCGGCACGGACAGGGCCAGCGTGGCTGGCTCCTCTTAGACACTGACCAACCTGCCCCACAGATCCATCTCAGACTGGAGCAGCCGTCCATCACCCCTGGCTGAGGGGGTCTCATTCCCTGAGCCTGCCAGTGCTGCCTAGAGGGGAAAGGCCTCTTGGGCCCGCCAGCCCCTCACCCCAAGGACAGGTCAGAGCTGGTGCCCCCAGAGGGGAAGGTCCTACATTCTGGGACCCAGCATCTGACCGGAAAGGCCCCACACCCCAAGACCAACGGAAAGGCTGTCTCCAGCTGTCCTTGCCATCGTCCGAACCCCTCATGCCCTGGGGAGACTCCAGAGGAGCAGAAACCCTGCTGCCGACCCCTGGGCCCAAGCCGCAGCCCCAAGATCAAGCTGACTCTGGGACTCAGGGCTTTTAAAATCATACACGGAAAGATACAAGCAGCCAAGAGTTAGGTGGCGGGGTGGCAGCATGGCCTATTGGGCAGGACACTGGGCTGGGAGTCAGGACACCTTGGTTCAGTCCCAGCTCTGCCATTGACCTGCCATGTAACCTTGGACAAGTCCCCACTCCTCTGTGCCTCAGTGTCCCCCCACCCTGTCTGGGTCTTGCCTGTTTGTCCCGTAACCTCTGCAGGGCAGGGACCGGGCACACCAGGGGTCCCCAGTCCCGGTAGGGGTCCTTGAAGGGCTGCAGTAATGCCAGAGCTGAAATATGGTCTCGGCTCCAGGACTAAAGCTAAGTTCAGCATCCCTCTGTCCACACACAGGCCTCTCCATGTCCTGTGTTACACCGGTGTGGAGCGTTGTGCCGTGCTGGTAACCATCTGCCATGTCCCACCCCAGAGGTGGCTGCACCTCCATGGGTGTGGGAAAGCGATCCTTGTAAATCTCTGATTCTGCTTAACTCCTGCAGTTGCTTTTACACACGCAAGACACCCCTTTTGCAGGCTTCTGGGACGTCAAGCAATATTTTACCCAGTCTCCAGATGTAGCCTGGAAAGCTGGCTGCTATGGCACACCTTCCATGGATGTTACCCGACAGACCTTTCAGATGGTCATTCGCTGGATGGGTGGTTTTTTACCTAAACCGTTCTTGTCCTGCCGTATCCCAGATCTGCAGTTTCACCGTTTTCCCACCGACGTTAACCACCTTTGACCCAAACTCCACTCCGATCGTGTGGTTGGAATCCTGCTTGACTGGAGAAGGGAGAGATCCCAAATCAGTGACTTACCGAGAAGGCCCCTGGTCAGTTAGGGATCAGCTACAACGCGTAGCCGCTCCGGAACCAGGAGCTTCCAGTCCAAGTGCTGATACCCGAGAGCCCCAAGCGATCTGCAATTGCTTCACTCTGATTCCTGCGCAGATTGGAGACTCCAGGTGTTGCAGAGCGACATGCTGGTGCCCCTCACTCCCCACCCGCAGCCCCTGCTACCCCGGCCCTGGGCCCCCCCCACAGCTCTGCCGGTGCCCCTCACTCCCGACCTGCAGCCCAGCCGTGGGCTCCTGCCCTTAAGTGCACACAGCAGCCTAAGGCACAAAGAAAACTGCATCTTTTCTGTTTTTGTTCAAGGCAGCGCCAGAGGCAAAGGAGAGGATTTAGTGGAGCATCCCCGGCCCCCGAGCCTCCCCCAACCTGCTGCGACTTCTCCAGCAGCAGGTGGAAGCAGGCAGCCCCACGTCGGGCTCCTGCTCAGAGGGGCTTGTAGAGAACTCCATGCAGCGGCGGTGCCGGCTACTGCACCTGCCATAAAACCAGCCGCCCCCCCAAAACTGCAGGTCCAGTACCCTGCTGTCCCGAGAGGAGGCCGGCACGCAGAGAGACCTGCTTTTGCTTCCCCGCTGCTGGAAAATGCGCCGGATTGAGCCAATTTTGCGGTTTTGGTACAGCCCGTGAAAACAGGGCTTTAGGCGCAGCGGCACGGAGGGTTCTGCTCCAGAGCTGCCATGCAATCTCCCAGCCTGCGCCAAGCCCCGCACAAGCCACGTCACCGCAGCAGAAAGCGTCCCCAACGAGACAGACACCACAGCACCCCACCGCGGGAGCTTCGAAATCGAACGCAGGCAGCTGGCGTAACCCAGCACAAACCTGCTCACACGGGGCTAAAGAAGCCGCAAAGATGACGTGTCAACAACTAACCGGTTGGCACTTGGGGGTGTCTGCACCCGCACCACAACGCACCCTTTTTGTTGCCTTGCCACGGTTAAGCTAGTACACAACAGTGTGTGAAAATCAAGCACCAGACGGATTCTTTACCAACATAGGAAGCCCCTTTGGAATACTATTTTGTAATTTGTGAACACACGGAGGAAGCCAGGGCTGTGCAAAGACATCTGCGATGAAAACCACAAAGCAGGAGGGGTTTCACCTTTGATTTCGTTAGGCTAGTCGAGCCATTTCCATTTTCCCATTCAGAAAAAAATGTTAAAATAGGAAGCGGGTTTTCAAGAAGGCTGAAGTTTAAAAATGTCATAATAAAAAAAACTCCATCACAGCTTTGAAGTTTCACACGTTTGGATGTGGAAACTCCCACTCTTTCATCAGAGTTTCTTTGGTAAAAGGCAAGTTTTGGGAGCTGAAGGACAGACCAGAACGCAAATTCAATGGTCTTTCTGGCAACAATTGTACAGCGGAATCTTCCCTTTTGGACAAGCTCCAGAGGGTCTCGGATCTTAGGAAACACACCGGAGCAAAAGAGAAATGAGTTCATCTAAACAACGACACTGGCAACAGGAACAGGGCTACTTACATTTATTCTCTATAAACTGATGCAGGAGACAGGACTTCCCAGTACCGGCACTTCCTATCACAAGGAACTTGAAGAGGAAATCTGAAGAACAAAATAAGCACGATTGTGACCCTCGCACGTGAGGAAGGGGGCTGGGAAGGTTTACAAAAAGCAGAGCATCTTCTCTACCAGTCTTTAGAAATGTGCACCGAGAAACATTACGTGCAATGCTCCCCAGCGTCAAACTCCCCGTGTGACTCTGGCACGTCACCTCATTTCCCGGGCCGCAGTAAAAGGGATAGTGACGCTTCCTTTGGCCCATCTTTGTCTCATTAGACTAAGCACGCTGAGGCAGAGACTGTCTCGTCCTAGGTGTATATACAGCACCCGGGGCAAAGGGAGCCTGATCTCAGCTTGGCATCTTTTGGCACTGCTGTTAGCTTACTAAAGCATTATTTGCACCCCATTCGACGTTAGCCAGCTCCCTTATGCTCACGCTGGGGCAGGAATACCCGATCGGCACACTGCAGCGATCGCCAGCAGCCAGGAGTGCACACAATTATGACGACTCAGGAGCAGCCTGAGAGCAGAGACAGCACACCGCTCAGCCCAGAGAGTGGCCCCCAGGGGTTAGGGGCTGGAGCCTGCCAGGTTCCACTGCAATGCAGAGCATGTGAAGTCACAGGTTCAAATCCCCTACAAGTCTTACTGGCAGGAGGTGAGGCTATTACAGAATTAGAAGGCGTTCACAGGAGGCCAGTCAGAACAATCAAAGGCCTGGACCAACAGTCCTGTGAAGACAGTGGGACTGGTTACCTTAGAAAGGAGACAAGCCAGGGGGGTGTGATAAATTGGCCGGGTCTCGAGAAGGGAGACCAGGAGCTTCCGTTCGCATTGGCCGGTAACTCAAGAACAACGGGACTCCAATGTGATTCAATGGTGGGAAATGCACAGCTGGCCAAAGGACAGACTTTTTCCACGCACCACGGTTGGACTATGGAACTCATTGCCACATGAAGTTGCTGAGGCCAAGAACTTAGGAAGGTAAAAAGCGTCTGGACTTTTATATGCATAACAAGAAGAGCCAGAATCGTTCTAGTTAATGAACAGTTTTAGAAGGGTCATTAACCCTCCTCCTACTTCAGGGCTTAAGCAAGCAAACTGTTAGAAACCAGCATGGGACATAACATGGGGGCAGATTATCCCATGGCTGCTGCTGTCCTTGAAGCACCTAGCACCAACCACTGTCACAGCCGGAATGCAGGCCGAGACAGGCTCAGGGCTGCTCCAGCCCGGCAGCTCCTCCATAAGCCGCTGCTGTGCCCAGCTGGAGCCAGGCTGCCCAGCACCGTGGGTTGGATCCCTGTACAGCAGCAGGCAGTGGAAGCCAAGCCCTTGGCAGTTCCCCAGGGCTAAACGCACTGTGCAAAGACCTCAGGGGCAGAGGGGAAGCACAGAAACAAAGCATGTGTTCGAATGAGACCAACGGACTTCCCAGAGTGCGCCGCAGCGTGTTCCCCCCCCCCACCCCACCCGGTGGGCACCGGACAGAACATACCGTATTCCCCGCCGCCCCCGAAAGCCTCCCATTACAGCAGCCTCCAGAGATCTCTTGGGCTGAAGTCCCGGACGCTCCCCCCAGCCACCGGCCAGAGCCGGTTCCTTCTGGTACGGCACAAGGTGCGATCTCCGGCTCGGATTCCAACCCGTCCCCAGTGGCATGACGGTAAAGCCTAGAGACCCCCCCCTTCTGCGGGGTGCCCCACAGACAGAGAAAGGCCTTGTCCCCATGCAGAGGAAGAAGCCAAACAGCGAATGGGCCTTTATTTGGTGGGGATGAGCGCCACAGAAAGGGCAGGAGGTCGATTTTCTGACTTGCCAGGCACATCTACGCTTAAGCCACTAAGAGCACCATGCTGACGGGAGGGGCTCTCCCTGTCTGCACGGGGTCAGGTCAGCGTAACTCCGTCTCTCAGGGGGTGGATTTTCCACACGACACCGACGTACACGCCCAGCGTAGACCAGCCTGCAGACCCCTGTGTGTGCACGTTGGTTTTAAGTACCCCACACCGGCGCTTTGTTTATGAATCGAACGTCTCCTTTCATTGAACAGAGGCACGTTTGGAAGAATTTGCAAGCAAGAGGCATTGCATCGAAGCCCATATTAGTGCTACTCGCCTGGTGGGTCACAACCGGGGGGCATAAGGCAGTGACAATTCTGGTCCAATGGAAGCCACAAAACCCTCTCTCCACCCCTCCCCATACACCTTTCCCCTTCCAGGGCAAGTCTTCGCCCTGAGAATTACAGAGACTTATTCTCATTGGCACACTTTTGGCGTCAGACGAGGGGCTGCCAAGCAGAGCAGGCTGACGAACACCACTCCATACGATACACGGAGCATTCCTTGCTTGTGAAGACTCCCGCGCCAAATTACCACCTACCCAGGTATTCACACCATTTGGATCTGGGGACCGCGATTTCACTCCTCACCTGAGTAACCGCTCCATTAAGAACACATTGGGGGGGGAAGGCATCGGTACTTGTATGGCCCCGTGACAGTGTTATCTGAGCACCTCAATCTTTAACACTCACCCATTGGTAGGAAAGCATTTTACAAGTGGGGAAACTGAGGCAGGGGCTCGCTCAAGGTCACAGAGGGAGTGTGTCCCTCTCTCTTGTCACTGTTCCCAAGTCAGGCTGTTTGTTTAGTCTCAGCTCTGCAGGAGGTTTCATGCCCCATTCCCTCTCTGGCATAGAAGCGCTGGGCACAGCCACATCAGCTCTGACCAGGCCTCCAGCCACGCCCATCACCTGTGTCCAACAAAGGCCAGCTCCTGACAGCTCAGAGGAAGGTGCACGAAACCCCGCAGGGAACAATGATGGAATAACGTACCGGGGAGGGGGAGAAGAGATGCTCCTTGAAAAGCCCTGATTTACAATCCTTTCTAAGAACAGCATCCTACCAATGACCCTGCGGAGGCTGCCGAGTGCACAGGACCCCAGTTGCGAGCCAAGAGACAACAGGAAGGTATAGCCAAGGGGAGATATCAGGAAATAACAAGACAATACAGGTCATGATCAGCTGTGGTGTCAGCCTACCAAACCGATCTACCTTACCCATAGAAGTGTCTAGTGTTCGGCAGAACCTCGCAGTGTTTGAACCACAAACGCCCTCACAACAAAAGCAGAAGTGTTCTCCCTGGTTCCCCTTCACTAGTTCAGTGAATCCAAGGCCAGCAGGAACCATTGCAATCACAGAACCACCGGACTAGAAGGGATCTCAGTTAGTCATCTAGTCTGAGGCCGGGCTAAGTAATCTCGTCTGACCCAGACCACAGCACTTCCCTGCATCAGTAGTTCCTCCTTGAACCAGAGCAGGTCTTTTAGAAAAAGATCCCAGCGTGATTTTAAAATGGCCAGTGATGGAGAATCCTAAGCTAAAAATCAATGCTAGCTCTGAGAGAAAGGCTTCTCCCATTAAGCAAAACCACCTCCCTTCAGTTATTTAGGTCCCATTATTACCTTGTTTACAAGGGAAATATTTGGGATGCTGTTTTCCCAGAAAGAGAAACCTCAAGCACTGGATGCTATCTCCCTATCTTAAAACCCCAGGACTCCGCCTGAAAGACAAACCTGTGCCCAGCAACCAGAAAGCCTTTGCCAGGTTTAAAGGGAACTCAGTTATCTTGATATCTAGGCTGAGTGAGTTCAAAGTCGTTTCAGCCATTGCACCTGCCTCTCTGCCAACTGCAGTTTTATGATCACATTTTTCAGGTGGCCCAGTCTGTGCTCTTGTGGAACGCAACACAAACACAAGCGCAGGTACTGAGGAAACTGCGCGAACAGTGGAACGGATGATATGCAAAGTGCTGACCGAGGCACAAAGAAAACCAAGTGAAAAGATTCCCCTGCTCTCCCCTGTGAGTCAGGCCGGAAGAACAGTCAGCAAGACTTCCGACAAAGGTGGTTTTAAACAAACTCTTCATCCTTTCGAACGGCCCAGTAGCAAACGTCAGCGGTGGAGTCTACCCAGCTTTCCAATCGTGTTGGCTGGCGTGATTTTCTATTTATTTTACTGGCAGAGTGACACCAGCCCAAGCCCCAGTGTGGACACAGGTCACTCGGGGTACAGCTGTGCTGCTGTCGTGTAGACACCGACTAGCGCAACGGAGGGTGTTCCTCCCCCCGCCGTTAACCCACCGCTCCGCAAGGCGGTAGCGAGGCTAGTGGAAGAATTCTTCCATTGACCGAGCGGCGTCTGCACCAGGGCCTAGTCAGCTCCTCTGAGGATTGTGAATTTTGCAAACCCCTGGGGGATGTAGCGAAGCTGACCTAACTTTGCAGTGTAGACTCCCCGTTACACCTGTAGAACGAACGCCCTTTGCCAGGCTGGAATAGCTGCGCCAACACTAACAGGCTGGTTCGGCGTTAACTCACCGCTTTCGCTTTCCCGGGACTGCTAAAGCTGCCTCTTGTCTGTACGGACAAGGCCCCAGGCTTTATTTTGAATGCTAGCAGCAGCCTCGATGAGAGAGACAGGCACCCATGGCACGTGACGTGTTCCTAGGGGCGGCTGACTCCCGCGCAGGCCTGGACTGCACTGGAAGGTGGCATCGGCATAGCTCCATTGACAACTTTTCAGTGCAGCCCAGGCCTTCCTCCAAAGCACCTTAGTCTAATTCAGAACCAGAAACTTCGTGCAGAATAAGAACACCCACACGCGGAGCTACGGGGGAAGAACTCCCCGTGCATACAACCCGAGGAAGCCCAATGGTTGGGCTTGTCGCACGGGCAGAGGCAGTGGAAAAGTCACGTCTCTGTTCCTCCATTAGCACCCAGCCCTGCTGTCCTGGAGCACCCCCGGGTGCACACAGGGCCACTGAAACGCAGTCCCTGGAGTGGGGAAGAAAAGACCTCCCATTTGCTCAGCAGCCCATGCGCCATGAACCCACCAGGGAAGGACGAATCCATCCCATGAGGGTTTGAACCTGGCACGCCCAGGGCTTGTTTGTGCACTGGGGGAGGGGGAAGGAGTTTGAATCTGAATGGTTAAAAGGCCAAGACACCCCCATTTGCCAACCCCAGTTTCAGCTCATGCAAGCCAGAGAGGGCGGTGGGCAGCCCAAGAGCAGATGGCATTGAATAAACCCAGGCAGGCTCCCCCAGGGCAGAAATTCACCACCCCTCATCTTCCCCACACCCCCCGCGTTCAGGGGACGCGCTTCATCTCCTCTCATTGTTAAGCGACTGGCTCTGGGGTCAGCCTCCTCGACAGCTGGCACAAGAAGTGGTTTCCAGGAACGCACCCCCAGCTCCAGCCTGCGTAGTTGTGGGGCGATTAGCGCCCTGGGGGGTCATGCCGAGGGCAGGGCCTCTCCGCACCGGGGACTTTCCCACCCCCCTTCGCCCGGGCACCACACACAGATGCCAAAACAGGCCAATGACGCTCCTTCGGGGAGGATTTCTGAGGCCTGGGCAGCGTTGCCAGCCCTGAGCCAGGCCCCCGGCTGGCGCCCAGCACAGCCTGCAGGAGAATTTGGGGGGGGGGGGGAATCGCAGTGGGTCAGCTTCAGCCCCGCAGCACCCCCCCATCCCCACACTCCCAACACCCCTGTCCCCTCCCAGTGCCACTCCTCTCCTATTGCCCCCCAGCCACACCCCTCCACCTACCGCAACCCCGCCGCCTGCCCTGCCCCTCAGTGCACCCCGACTGCATGCCACGCACCCCCGCCTTGCTTTAATACTCACCCACATGGGCCAACCGCCCCCCCCCGCACAGAACCCCCCCGCCTGCGGCTCCAGCCCCTGCCCACAGCTCCCCCCTCCCATGCACACAGCTCCCCCCACCGCACCCTCCAGGCCCCACCCCATGAGCACAGCTCCCCCCTCCCTCACCGCACCCTCCAGCCCCCACCCCATGAGCACAGCTCCCCCCTCCCCCCACCGCACCCTCCAGCCCCCACCCCATGAGCACAGCTCCCCCCTCCCCCACCGCACCCTCCAGCCCCCACCCCATGAGCACAGCTCCCCCTCCCCCCACCGCACCCTCCAGCCCCCACCCCATGAGCACAGCTCCCCCCTCCCCCCACCGCACCCTCCAGCCCCCACCCCATGAGCACAGCTCCCCCCTCCCCCCACCGCACCCTCCAGCCCCCACCCCATGAGCACAGCTCCCCCCTCCCCCCACCGCACCCCTCCAGCCCCCCTCCCCCCACCCCATGAGCACAGCTCCCCCCTCCCCCCACCGCACCCTCCAGCCCCCACCCCATGAGCACAGCTCCCCCCTCCCCCCACCGCACCCTCCAGCCCCCCCACCCCATGAGCACAGCTCCCCCCTCCCCCCACCGCACCCTCCAGCCCCCACCCCATGAGCACAGCTCCCCCTCCCCCCCCACCCTCCACCCCCACCCCATGGCCAGCCCCCCACCGCACCCTCCAGCCCCCACCCCATGAGCACAGCTCCCCCCTCCCCCCACCGCACCCTCCAGCCCCCACCCCATGAGCACAGCTCCCCCCTCCCCCCACCGCACCCTCCAGCCCCCACCCCATGAGCACAGCTCCCCCTCCCCCCACCGCACCCTCCAGCCCCTCCCCCCACCCCATGAGCACAGCTCCCCCCTCCCCCCACCGCACCCTCCAGCCCCCCACCCCATGAGCACAGCTCCCCCCTCCCCCCACCGCACCCTCCAGCCCCCACCCCATGAGCACAGCTCCCCCCTCCCCCCACCGCACCCTCCAGCCCCCACCCCATGAGCACAGCTCCCCCCTCCCCCCACCGCACCCTCCAGCCCCCACCCCATGAGCACAGCTCCCCCCTTCCCCCCCGCACCCTGCAGCCCCCCCCCATGAGCACAGCTCCCCCCTCCCCCCACCGCACCCTCCAGCCCCTCCCCCATGAGCACAGCTCCCCCCTCCCCCCACCGCACCCTCCAGCCCCCACCCCATGAGCACAGCTCCCCCCTCCCCCCACCGCACCCTCCAGCCCCCCCCCCATGAGCACAGCTCCCCCCTCCCCCCACCGCACCCTCCAGCCCCTCCCCCCCCCATGAGCACAGCTCCCCCCTTCCCCCCCGCACCCTGCAGCCCCTCCCCCCATGAGCACCCAGCTCCCCCCTCCCCCCACCGCACCCTCCAGCCCCCCCCCCCATGAGCACAGCTCCCCCCCTCCCCCACCGCACCCTCCAGCCCCCACCCCATGAGCACAGCTCCCCCCTCCCCCCACCGCACCCTCCAGCCCCCACCCCATGAGCACAGCTCCCCCCTCCCCCCACCGCACCCTCCAGCCCCTCCCCCCACCCCATGAGCACAGCTCCCCCCTTCCCCCCCGCACCCTGCAGCCCCTCCCCCCACTGCACACAGCCCCCCCCCCCCCCCCCACCGCACCCTCCAGCCCCCCCCCCACCGCACCCTCCAGCCCCCAGCTCCCCGCTCCCCCCACCGCGCCCTCCAGCGCCCCGCACAGCCCCCCCCGCTGACCGTAGCTCTCGGACATGGCTGGGGCTGGGGCGGCGACACCGGGCAGACCGAGCGCAGCGGGCGCGATATGGCGGCGCCCAGGATCCGCCAATATGGCGGCGCCCGCGGACCCGGCTGGGGGAGGCGCTTCCGGGTCCGTGCGCGCCCACGCCGGCGTGCGTCTGACGTCACTGGGAGGTGGGGTGCAGGGGCGGGGCTTAGAGGGAAAGGCTGAGGGGTGGGCGGGGCTGGGAGCCAGGACTCCTGGGTTCTCTGGTGGCTCTGGGAGGGGAGTGGGGTCTAGTGGTTAGAGCTGGGGGGGGGCTGGGAGCCAGGACTCCTGGGTTCTCTGGTGGCTCTGGGAGAGGAGTGGGGTCTAGTGGTTAAAGCGGGGGGCAGGGGCTGGGAGCCAGGACTCCTGGGTTCTCTGGTGGCTCTGGGAGGGGAGTGGGGTCTAGTGGTTAGCGCGGGGGGGGGGGCTGGGAGCCAGGACTCCTGGGTTCTCTGGTGGCTCGGGGTGGGGGTTTGGGATTGGGGCAGCTGGGGGTCACGCTGTGGGGCAGTGAGTGTAACCTGTTCCCGGGGCTGGGGGCTGCTGGGGGAAGGGGGGGCAGCGTGTCGGTGTCACGCTGCTTCCCCCAGTGGGTGGCTGGTTTGTGTCCCCAGAATTCAAGCCCCCCACCCACACCCCCGACCCCCAAGGCATCAGGAGAGGAGGTGGCTCAATTCTGAGGCCCAGCGGTCCCCCACAACTCCCCACCCCGTACCCTGCCAGGCCATATGCAGCTTCTCTGCCACCAGGGCTGGCTGCCCACGGCTCTTTCATTTCACCTGTTGTACCCGCCTTAGAGCCCCGGCACCTCGTGTGTCCCATCACCGGGCACCTGGGGAGCCCCCAGGCAGGCCTGGCTCAGATCCCCAACACCCCCCCACAGCCTTGACTGCTCTGCCCCCTGCCACTCCCCCTTATTCATGGCTGTTTTCCAGTCCCACCCCCCATGGAGCTCAGCCCAGCCTGGGGCTCACCCTCGGGGGGCAAAATCGGCCACCCCAGCGCCGTCAGCCCGGGTGCAGGGGAACTCGCTGCAGGGCCGGGTTGCACCGTGGTGGGGGCATGTCGCAGTGGTGCATGGGGCAGGTGGGGGCAGGTGGGGCATGTGCCCAGGCCTGAAATCTGCCTGCGGAGGCCGGTGTCCGTGTGACGGGAATGACCCCACACACCCAAGGCCTGCACCGAGGCTGCGAGTGCGAGGGGTGCCCTGCGCCCAGCGATTCCACCCGGGGAGCGTCCCTCCCCACCCCGGATTTGCTGCCAAGGGAAGGGGGGCTCGGGGAGCTAAGAGCCCCAGGAGCACGGGGGGGGTGGGGGCAGCTGTGTGGGCTGCTTCCCCCAAGGTGTCAGAAGCTGGATCTAAGCAGCCCTGGTCTCCCCTTGCTGTCCCCCAGCTCTGGTGATGCCCCTCACCGGCAGCCCCCTGCCATGTTGTACTCTGAGAGTTGAGTGGGGCCTAGTGGACTGGGGGGGCTGGCAGCTTGGGTTCCTAGTAGGGGGCCCCCAGGCCCTCCCCCAGAGAGAGACAAGCTTAGCCTCAAGCTGGGAGAGAACCCAGGAGTCCTGGCTCCCAGGCCCCCCAGCTCTAACCCAGAAGACCCCACTCTTCCCAGAGCCAGGGACGGAACCCAGGAGTCCTGCTGCCCAGACCCCTCCCCCCCACTCTAACCACTGGGCCCACTCCCCCCAGAGCCGGGGATTGGACCCAGGCATCCTGTTTCCCCACTGCCCCTCGCTGCCCCCCCGGCACTGCGTGGGCACAGCGCTGAGACGCGCCCCAGAGCCCTGTGCTCGCATCCACAGGCCCCAGCAAGCCCTGACCCAGGGCGGGGGGGACGCAGGCCGGCTGGGCGCGGCAAGTCAGCGGGCGGCTGTACCATGGACTCCCTGTACCTGCCAAGCGAACACGCCCTCCCCGTGCCCGTGGGGCAACCCCACCTCTGCCAGCCAGTTCCTGGAACAGCTGCTGGGGGGGGCTCAGATCGGGGGGGGGCGGTTAATGGGGATGAAGAAATGGAGGCTCCCAGCACCCCCACCAAACCCCCAAACCGCCTCTCTCCAGCCCAGGAAATAAAAACCAGGGGGCATCCAAGTTGCCTGATAGAGCAGTGGGATCTGGGAGCCAGGACTCCTGGGTTCTCTCCCAGCTCTGGGAGAGGAGTGGGGTCTAGTGGTTAGAGCTGGGGGGCTGGGAGCCAGGACTCCTGGGTTCTCTCCCGTGCACTGGGAGGGGAGTGGGGTCTAGTGGTTAGAACCAGGGAGGGTGGGAGCCAGGCCCTGGGCTTTTCCCACAGTTGATGCTGTTGGTTAAGGGTCTGGGGCCAGATCCCTGGCTAGGGGCTGCTGGCCCTGCTCCATTGAGATCCCGGCCCCTAACCCAGCTGCCCCCCTAGCCGGCCGGGTTCCCGTCAGGCGGGGTTTTCCAGCGCCGCATCCCAGATTCCTGTTTTCCGCAAGGGAAGTGGGGCTTGCCCAGAGGAATCAAATCATCCGGGTTCCAGGAAAGTCCGCCCAGGCCCGACAGCCATGGGGTGGGGGAGGGGGGTGCTGAGCAAGGGGGCAGAGATGGGGCAGATTTCTGATTTCTCCCCCCCTCCCACATGCCCCCGACTGCCATGAATCCCCAGCTGGCCCCCCAGAGACCTCAGCCGCTGCACAGTCTCTCTCCCCCACTTCCAGGGTCTGAAGCGGCCCTGGCAGAGGGATGCAGCCAGCTCTGAGGTGGGGCATGTCAGGCAAAGTGCAGCCCCACGCCCCGTCCTTGGGGCAGAAGAGGCCCCAGCGCCCTTTGTCCAGGCTCTGGTGCTGTCGGGTCTGCTCCCCTCCTGAGCTTTATGGCAGGGCGGGAGCCGCTGATAAGAGCCAGCTGCAGCCACCAGCTTCAAGCAGGGACCACAGCAGGGGAAGGGCAGCAACAGGAACGTGACCAACATCCCCTCCCCACCCCCAGAGGGCAGCCTCTGCCCTGCACTGTGTACCCCACCCCGCTCCCAGAGCTGGGGCAGAACCCAGGAGTCCTGGCTCCCAGCCCCCTGCTCTAACCAGTGGACCCCCCCCCTCCAGAGCTCGAACAGAAGGAACCCAGGAGTCCTGGCTCCCAGCCCCCTGCTCTAACCACTATTCCTGGCCCTCCTCCCCAAGGGGCTGCCGGCACTAGGTGTGGAGTGACAGTCATGGTCCCCTGGAGCCCCGATACAGAGCTCAGTCTCTCCCCATCAGGGAACCCCGGCAGACTGGCACCCGCTGGCTGGTCCTGCTCAGCCCGGCGCTAGGCCCCGGGTCCCCCTGGCTACGGGCTCAAGGGAACAGAAGTGAACTGAGAGAGGCATCTGGCAGTGGTGAGATGGGGAGAGGGGGAGCCAGGACTCCTGGGTTCTCTCCCTTCCTGGCCCTGAAGTCACTGGCTCCTTCCCACCCTGGAGCACAAGAGCTGCTTCCCCACCCCCCACCCCGGGGCGCTGCCCTCCCTTCCTGGTCTAACCGGTCACCCACCCTGGGAAAACACGGGCGGCTGGTTATCAGGGACCTGCCGGCTCTCACCCGCAGGGACGCCCCAAGGGGCCTTCCCCAGGGGAGGGGCAGCAGGTGGCACAGAGAGCCCTGGTGCCCCCAGCTCTTCGGGCCAGCACCCGCACCGCATAGGGCACCGGTGGTTCCCCAGCCCAGGGCACGAGCAGCCCTCTGCCCACGGGGCCCAGCTAGAGCCGGGGGGTCCCTTCCGCCAGCAGGGCTGGGACTCAGGGCGGGGGTCAACTTCCAGCTCTAATCCAGGCTGGCAGGGCCAGCTTGGCCCAGTCCCTGAGGTCTGCAGCGGGGAGCTCCCTGGGCATCTTTGCCAAATGTTGCACGAGGGGGCCCTGATCTCAGTCGGGGTCTGGGCAGCGCCCGGTGTGATGGGGGTGCTGAGATCTCCCTGGGTCTGGGCAGTGCCCAGTGTCACGGGGACACTAGGCTCAGGTCAGGGGGGAGGGGCCTTTGCAGACTGTTCCGTAATCCCCCGTTCAAAGCCCTGATCGACCTCCCCCAGCGCTCGGCTCCCCCCACACAGCAGCTCCCCTGGGAGCTCCCCCAGCGTTTGCAACGGGGACAGAAACTTTATTGGCTCAAGACATTTTAAAAAAAGAAAGAACAGACGGATGGACGGACAGACAGACAGACCCCTGGCTTTGCCCAGGGTTATCACAACAGCAGCTGACACCCACCCCCAACTGGGATCAGAAACCAGCAGCCCTGGGGCAGAGCTAGGGGCAGTTATGGGGGCGAGGGGCAGTTCAGCAGCACACCCCCGCCCCCCCCAGCCAACTGGGGGGACCATGCTGCTGCCGGAGTGGGGGAAATAGATCTCAGCTCCCCCTCCACACAGGGAAGCCAGGTTCCTGCACCGCCTGAAGGGGATAAAATCACCCATTTGCCCTTTGCCGGCTGCCTGAAGCCAGTCCCCCCATACAGCCCACAGCCCCCCACCCTGCTCCCAGTGGGAGGGCACAGGACACCCAAGGACATGGCTGGCACAGAAGGGGTTAAGGCCTCAGGAGGGGGCGAAAGGGGATTTCTCCTGGGGTCCCCATGCCATGGGGTGGGAGGGGACCCTGGGGAAAACCCCCTTTCGGCCAGGGATGTTTTTATACTAGTGCAAAGATAGCAGCAGGCAGGGGAGGGTCCCGGAGCGGGCGCAGACCCCCAGAGACGGGCCCCTCAGCCTGCTGCACACACGGGAAGCTCTGGTCCACGGCTGCAGCTGGCCAGAACCAGGGTCCTGGCTGGAGAGGCCGCTGGGGGGAGGGAGGGCCCGGCTGAGCCCCCCACAATACGGGCAGGGCGGCCACGGTGCATTGCACCCCCCGTGCTCCGGCCATTCCCTTCCACAAAGTGCCCAGCAAGGGGGAAGGATTTAAACCCAGCTGTGGGGCCGGACCAGGGCAGTTGAGGGGGTTCTGCGCCTCCCCAGTCCAGTGGGGTGACCCTCCTGCAGCGGTTCACTCCCTGCCCCATGCAAACCAAAATCCTCTGCAAAAGGGGCTGTGCTGGGAGGGATTCTCCCTCACCCCTGGCCCAGGCAGGGGTCAAAGCCCCAGGGCTCCCCAAGACAGACTGTCCTACAGGGGGGCAGCTTGAGGGATGAGATTCTGGCTCCCCCCACAGCAGGGAACCAGCCCTGCTTTGAATTCGGACCCTGCAGGCCTTTGTGGAGCCAGAACACTGCCCCGGATTGGGGGGGCCATGCAGATCGGCAGCCCAGGAGCACAACCCACATGGAGCGGGGTGGGGGCGTCTGGAGCCCGGCACAGCCACCCGCATGGCATGGGGCCGTCTCCATCCTGCCAGCAAACACCCAGTTCAGCAGCAGCCCGGAGGCTCTTGAATCCACGCCTGGATCGAGTTGCCTGTTCTCAGCGGGACGGTGGCCCGGGGGAGAGCACCGGCTACCGCACACAGACGTACTTCTTCCACCAGGCCTTGGAGAGCGCCCGCACCTTGCTGGCCGTGCTCCGCGCCCGCCGGCCCCGGGCCTCGGCATGCCGCAGCCCCGCAAGGATGGCCGTGTCGAACACCTCCTTGAGGTTCTGCTGGGTCAGCGCCGAGCACTCCACGTAGCCCACGGCCCCCACTTTCTGGGCCAGCGCCCGGGCCGCCGGCTCGGCTACCGGCTTTTCCCGGCGCCGGGCCAGCTGGATGAGCACCTGGACGTCCTGGCGCAGGTCGCACTGGGTGCCCACCAGCAGCAGGGGGGCAGTGGGGTGCAGCCGGCACAGCTCCGGCACCCACTTCTCCCCCACGTTCTGGAAGGAGGTGGGGGCCACCACGCTGAAGCAGAGGAGGAAGACGTCCGCCTTGGGGTAACAAAGCCGCCGCAGCGTGTCAAACTCGTCCTGGGGGGGGGGAGGGGAGGGAGTGAGTGCCTCCAGCCAGCCCCACGGACCCACCCAGCCCTCACCCTGGTGTCCCTGATGTGTGGGCTGGGGCCCAGGGAGAGAACCAACTTCCTCAAGGCCACACATGGAGTCAGAGGTGGATCTGGAAATAGAACTCAGGCCTCCTGGGTCCCAGCCCCCCTGCCCTGTCCCTGAGCCAGGAATAGAACCCAGGAGTCCTGGCTCCCAGCCCCCCTGCTCTCACCAGTAGCCCCCACTCCCCTCCCAGAGCAGGGACAGAACCCCGGTGCGCAGGGGGCTGGAGGCTGGCAGAGAGCCACAGAGGGGGAGCTGGGCAGGTTCGTCACTTCCCCAGCACCCCCCGAGCTGACCTGCTCAGACGTGCCGAGGGTTGACCAGCTGCTGGGAATGGGTTAAAGGGAGCTCCCAGCTGGGCCCTTACCTGCCCCGCCGTGTCACAGAGATGCAGCCTCACAGGGGCGCTGTCCACCTGCACCACAGCTGCAAGGGGAAGAGACCCGTTACCCCTGGAGCCAGACGCTCCGTGGACCACCAACAACCACCCCCCCTCCAGCCCCAGGGACCTTACGCTTCTCAAAAACAGGTCAGTGGCAAAGCTGGGAGAGAACCCACCTCCGCCGCTCTAACCGCTACCCCGTCCCCCCGGTGCTGGGATAGAACCCAGGAGTCCCGGCTTCCAGCCCCCCCGCTCTAACCACCAGCCCCCACTCCCCTCCCAGAACTGGGGAGAGAACCCAGGAGTCCTGGCTTCCAGCCCCCCCTGCTCTAACCACCAGCCCCCACTCCCCTCCCAGAACTGGGGAGAGAACCCAGGAGTCCTGGCTTCCAGCCCCCCCTGCTCTAACCACCAGCTCCCACTCCCCTCCCAGAACTGGGGAGAGAACCCAGGAGTCCTGGCTTCCAGCCCCCCCTGCTCTAACCACCAGCCCCCACTCCCCTCCCAGAACTGGGGAGAGAACCCAGGAGTCCTGGCTTCCAGCCCCCCCTGCTCTAACCACCAGCCCCCACTCCCCTCCCAGAGCTGGGACAGAACCCAGGAGCCCGGGGGGGGGGTCCCATTCTGGGCAGTGGGGCGGGCAGAGCACCGAGGGGACGGGGGGAAGGACCGTGCGCTCCAGGGGGTGGGAAACCCCTTGGCAGGTCCCCGGGGGCTGGAAGCGGGGTCGCGGCCGGAGAAGGGCCCCCCCGCGGGACCTACCCGAGAAGCGGTCCAGCGCCGTGGGCACGTAGCGGGCCGGGTACCCGTTGGCGCCGTAGCTCACCGCCAGGCTGGTCTTGCCCACGGCGCCGTCCCCCAGCAGGACGCACTGCAGATCCGGCCGGGGCGGGGGCCGGTGCGGGGGCACCGGGGGCGCAGGCGGGTACTCGGGCAGCAGCTCTTGGGGGGCCATGGTCCGGCCCGCGCCCCTGGCGGGGAGGGCAAAGGGGGGAGCCGCGGGGGGTCGCCAAAGCCGGCTGCGCCCCGGTGCGCCCTGCGCTCCAAGCCGCGGCGCGCTGCCCCGCGCGGGGGTTTATACCCCGGCCCATCTCCATCGCCCCGCCCCAGGGGCGGGGACTAAGCGGGGGACACGCCCCGCATGCTGGAGGAGGTGGGGCAAAAGAAGCGGGGGAGGGGAGATGGGCTAAGGGGGGGGTCCTTGCCCAGAGCTTGGGAATCCAGCTCCCCTGCCCAGCGGCTCCAGGGACCCTGGCTGAGCTGGGCCCTTGCTGGACACAGGGGACCTGGTGGGGCCTCGGCCTGAGCCCCGCTACTTCCCACCCCTCCCCCACAGGGCTGGGGCCTGAGCCCCACTACTCCCACCCCCTCCCTCCGGGGTCTGGGGCCTGCCCCTCCGCTGGGTGTGACCATTTGTCAATGCTGCCCAGCCCAACACACCCACCACCCCGTTGTGCATTAATAGAGAACGGTCCCTCCCTGCCGCGAGCCCCCCCCCCCCCGGTGTTTTGGACACCGCAGCACATCTGTGGGGGCTTCACGTCTCCCCCCTGCACCAGGAGCAAAAACAGGAAGAAGCCGGGTGCGTGTGCAGGGCGCGTCACCTGTGTTTGGAAACAGGACACGGTGCCAGGGCGATCCCAGGGCCGAGTCAAAAGGGCTCCAGGCAGGGCCCTGGCTCCAGAGAGCTGCTTATGGGAGCCGCGGCCCTGCAGTTCCCACAAACCCCCCTGGCAATCAGCCGCCAGAGAGCTTGAAAACCGGAGACGGGGGGTAGGGCTCAGCATCCAGCCCAACAGGGCTCTGGTCTGGGTCAGGGCAGCTGGGACAACAGGATGCTGATTTTGGGGTGGGATCCATGCAGCACCCAGGACCCTGGCTGCTGGTCAAGTTCCTTGGTGCTATCGTCATACACACCATAAATCTGCACCCCACCCATCCCCGTTTTTTGGATGCCTTCCAGATTTTGCAAGGTGAGACCCATGCGCTCGCCCGGCCAAAGCCCCGCTAGCCAGGGGGCAGAGGAAAGGTACCAGCTAAAGGGAAGCCCCTCCCCCCCCCCCCCCGCCTTTGCCCCCAGTTCTCCAGCCTGCTCTCAGCCCACCTGCCAAGAGCCGAAGCCGGGATCTGCAGCCCAAGCGGCTGCCTGAAAGGTCCCAGTGACCCTGGGCTGCAGTGCTGGCCCCTCGGCTACCGCGTTAGCTAACCCCCACAGTGAATTAGCAGTGCAGGGGGTGACACCCTCTGTCCCCAGCGCCAGGGCAGCCCCAGGGAGACCCCCACATGCCCCCCTGCAGCAATCCCCCTACCATGAGCTAGAGAGGACCCTGCCTCCCTGTCTCCTTCAGGCCCCACCTCTGCTGAGCCTGCCAGCTGTAACAAAGCCTCCCCCCCCAGACCGCTGGGGGGCCACTCTTGTGCTTTCACTTTGAGAAGGCAGGTGATAAAACTAGTTGGCACTTGTCCCACAGCCCCACCCCTCCTCCCTGGGTGGAGCAGGGATCAGAAATGCCCCTCACCAAGCCATGCCCAGCCCCTTCGGCGAGCCCCCGGCCCTAGCTCCATGGGGGGGAAGGCCACGGTGCGTGGCACAAGCAGGGCGGCAGAGAATCTGGGGCAGGGTGTACGGATGAGATTCTATTTCCAGCCCGCTGCTCCAGGGGGATGGCGCTGCCAGCACCAACTCTGCGGCAGCAGCTCTGCGGCAGCCCCCCTCCCCAATCCAAGGGGGGAAGGAGGGACAGGAACATTCCCAAGTGCCCCCACCTAGCTGGACACTGGGGAAACCTCCCCTTCACCCCCAGGGCACCCCTGGGTGCTGCCCCCCCAAGCCAGTCGGGTCTCACTTTTCAAGCCAGTCAGGTGCCCAGCTGGCCTGCGCCAGCAAGAAGCCAGGCAGCTGGGGCGAGGCTGCAAACAACTCCCCCACCTCGCCCCATCTAGGAGAGCCGCTGCTCCTGCTTCCTCCCCAGGGAAAGACGGGGGCCAGCAGGTTTGCTGCATGGGAGTTTATTCAGGACTGGCCCCAGATGGGGGGCAGTAAGGGTGAAGCTACAGCGAGCTGCCCCAGGACCAGAGCACCCAGCGGGGGCGGGGGGAATTATTGCTACAGCAAAGGAAATTCACTTCAGCACCAGGCCCTGGGCCCAGCACTGGAGCTGCGGCACCCAAACGGCTGTGCTGGGATCCAAGCGAGCGCCGGGAGCTGGGGCCAAGGCAGGACTCACTGGCAGGAGAAATCCCATTGCTGGAAGGGAAGAGAGTGCGGAGATCAGACACTGGCCACCGGGGGAGACAAGCGGAAGGAGTCCTAGACCAGGGGGGAGAGAGGAGACGGCAACTAGGAGCCAGGATACCTGGGTTCTATCCGCAGCTCTGGGAGGGGAGAAGGGACTAGTGGGTAGAGCTGGGGGAGCCAGGACTCCTGGGTTCTATCCCCAGATCTGCCACCCCTGCAGTCTTTCCCCATCTCAGGGGCTCAGTGCCCTATGGGTGGAGCAAAGATGCCAGCCTCCCTGCATGCCATGGTCTCCAGATGGTGGCAGCCCCCATGGTGTGGGTACCCCCCCCCCAGCAGTAATTGGGTGCCCACCTGCTGCAGGTTCGGCTACTCACATCGGTTTTGACCTCCACCTTCCCTGGCTTCAGGTACTGGCTCTCCTGGACCACGCTGCTGGGGAAGAAGCCCAGGCGGGCGGGGTGCTCCCCGTAATAATCCCCCTGCACCTGCGGGGAGGAGATTGGGGGGGAGCTTAGCCTGGGGTGCCACCCCCAACACCAGCCCTCCACCACAGAGCTGCAGCCTGGGCAGGGCAAACTCCCCCACCCCATGAAGCCCCCCAGCCCTGCAGGGACCAGCCCCCCAGCAAACATCACACAGGAGCCCACCAGCCTGCAGAGGGGCACTGGGCTGAGATGGGAAGCGGTGCTGGGGGGCTGACTGGCTTGGCCTGGTGATTTGGGGAAGCAGGGGTCAGGCCCAGCCTTCTGCGTGGCCCTGGCTCCTGCTCCACCAGGGGCTGATGCCCCAGCGGAGCCGAGGGAGCCCGTTTCTGAGCTCTCGCTTGCCCCACCCGGCCGGCCAGCGCCCAAAGAAATCCCCCACGCGCCTCCAGCCACTCACGCTGCCGCCCCAGAACAGCCGGCCGCGGCCCTTCAGCTTGGAGAAGACGTAGACGACCTGACCGCGCTGGATGGTCATGAAGCGGCAGTCAGGGGCGATGTAATCCTGCACGGCCACTGCAATGGAGATTGGATCTGGGGGGGGCGGGGAACGACACACACACGACAGACAGAGGTCAATCCCTGGGCCTGGACACTGCACCTCCACCACCCCCCCCACCCTGTCTCCGCACCACTGCCCCCAGCCCCAGAGCATGGCACGGCCCCGCCCTGCCCCATCCCAGCGCCACGGCCTCAACCCCCGTGCCTGCCACCCCCCAGGGCACAGCCCCGTCTGCAGCCCCTTAGCCTTGGCACTGCCCCAGCCTCCCCCCCGCGCGCTTACGGCTGCAGTCGGCATCCGCACACAGCTTCTTCTCAGCCAGCTTGCCCAGCTGCCGGCCCCCCTGCACCAGCCCCAGCAGGGCGCACAGCAGAGCGGCCCGGGCCCAGAGCCGGCTGTTAGCCATGGTAGGAAAGATGCAGCTGCCCCAGGCTCAGACTGTCCCCACAGGGAGGGCAGGCGCCCTGCCTGCGTTTCTAGTCGCCGCCCTGAGCCCTTTTCGGAGACCCCGGAGCAGCTACCCCACTGGATGGAGCAGTGCCCACTCATTCGGCAGGGGGCCCCCTTGGCAGTGCCAAGCTTTGCCTGTCGCTAGGGGACACCCTGCCCGGAGTCAAGGGGGGCCGTGCTGGGGGGCCGTGCTGCTGTAGGGGACTTACAAGGCAGCCCTGACGCACACGTGGCTGTAGGGGGGGGACTGTGCTGCGGCAGGCACCAGGTTTTGGATAGAACATCGCCCCTGCGTCCTTCTGACAATTCCAGCTCCCCCAGTCCTCGGGGACGCCCATCCTGGAGACCAGCCGGGGCACCGCCATGCTCTGGCCTCGTGGCTCTCCCAGGATAGGGCTGGTCACCTCCGACTGCGTAGCACGGCTGCTTTGGTCCACCCCAGAGGGGGCTGCATGTCCACAACAGACAAGGAGTCTTCGTGTCAACTTGCCAGGCCACTCAGAGCGGGAGGAGGGGAGACAGAGACCCATCCCTGGGCAGCGGGGCACAGCCAAGTGTGACAAAGTGGGACTGTTCTTAATGTTTCCTCTGAATAGTGTGGGGGTGCCTCAGTTTCCCCTAGGCAGTTCTTAAGTATCTAGGGGGTGGGGTAAGGGTGTATGATCCTTGCAGAGCCCTAGAGGGCAGGTATGTGCAGGAGTCTGGACACAGAGAATGGCCGACACCCTGTTTCCTGGCAACTGATGGCCTGGGCCCTTCTCCCCTGCAAGGTGAGAGCTGAAGGGTTGGAGAACAAAGGAATCAGGTGACCACCTGGCCCGGGAAAGGAACAAAGCCCAGAGGAGGAGGGGCTGGAGGGAGTTTCAGTTTGGGGCTGGCTGGGGACATGGAGTGAAGGGCAGACGGGGTTGTCTGGCTCACTGCCCCCCAAAATGGACCCAGCTGAGGGGTCCCGTTCTCTGCACCTGCAAGCTCTGTGTTAGACCATGTCCCTGTCGTCTAATAAACCTTCTGTTTCCCTGGCTGGCTGAGAGTCCCGTCTGACTGCGAAGTTGGGGTGCAGGACCCTCTGGCTTCCCCAGGAGCCCCGCCTGAGCGGACTCGCTGGGGGAAAGCGCACGGAGGGGCAGAGGATGCTGAATGCTCCGAGGTCAGACCCAGGAAGGTGGAAGCTGGGTGAGCTGTGTGTCCTGAAGACAGGCTGCTCACAGAAAGGCGACTACCCCAGAGTCCTGACTGGCTTCATGGGGAGCAGGTCCAGAGCATCGCCCAGGGACTCCGTGACACCAAGTCACCAGGCTCAAATTCTCTCCCCCGTCCGCTCCGCTTCTTAAACAATCCAGTGCCACAAACTCAAGCTGGGAGCGAGGGCAAGTGGGGCCGGCTGCTGACGCAGGGGCCAGGGGGCTGGCTCTCGGGTAACATACTGGGCCCATTGTCCCCAGCCCGGCTCCCTACAGCTGAGGCCCATAGAAGGGGCAGTACCACCAGGATCCCAGAGAAGGGGAGGAGAGTGAGGGGCACTGTCCAACCCCCCTCCCCCCGTGTCAGAGGGGAAGCCAGGAGGGGAGCCCCCTGACGCCCCCCCCCAGGTCAGAAGCTCCCTGTGTCAGCGGTGGGATCCCCCTTCAAGCCAGGTGGCACCCGTACTAGCTCCTGCCAGCCGCCAGTTTCCTGTACTCTGAGCTTATGCTCTGACTCAACACATCAGACCCACCCCTGCCAGGGGCCGGGTCTCACCCATGGGGGGCTGCTGGGAAGTGTCTGACCCCCAGCAACTGCCGGGCTCCTCTTGGACAGTGAGGGGGTGAACAGGCTAGCTCTGAAGCCAATGAGGGAGGCAGGCAGCCAGCCACTTCTGGGGGCGACCTCGGTAGTCGAACCCCGGCCACCAGTGATCCCTCTGCCACACTGGGAGCACGACTGGCAGGGCACAGGCCAGCTCCCCCGCCCAGGCACCCTCTTCCTAGCATGCAATGCTCCAGCCAGCAGTGCATCCTGGGATCTCTAGGCTCTGTGTTAAAGAAGGCAGGGACAATCTGCTCAGTCCAGACCCAAGCCACCCCAAAAGGCTCCTGGGATATTGGTGGGGTAAAGCCAGAATTCACCATTTTCACAATCACCAGGTTGGTAATAATTCCCGTCAGCTCCCGCCAATGCCCAGTCCCTGCCAGGGGGCTTGGCTCAGAGCCACCTCTCAGGACACTGGGTAAAGGGAATCAGACTCCCAGGTGGAGAATCCACCCGGGCGATTTCACCCCGCCCCCCCGGGAACTCATCCAGGAACAGCCCAGCCGCGTCACAGGGAGGTCACAAAGTTTTTATTACAGGACAGAGAGCGCCAGGTGCAATGTCTGAGCAGCAGACTCTGGGTACAATGCTTCCGGAGGGTTTTCGCTGCCTCTAGCCGCCCCCGTCCCCACCCCCCTGTACCAACCATCCCGCCACGAACCAGCTCCAGGCTCATCGCAGACACGGGGATCACCAGCTGGCGGCGCTCCAGAGTCACTTACCCACTCCGAGCAGCCAGGCAGCGCGGCGTGCAGGGGGGGACGCAAGTCAGACACTTCCCCGCTGTCAGTTCACAAGGCTCTGGGGAAGGGGGCAGTTTGGGGCTGGAAATCCGGCCGGCCCTGAGGACAGACTTACCTTCCAGGGAACTGGTAAAAAAACAGGGGGGGGCCTGGCTCAATCAGACACTAACTGGGGGGAGTGGGGAGGGGCAGTTCTGGGCCTGAGGGACAGTTCTGGGCCCGGGTGGGGTCTTCACTTCTTGGCAAAGGAAATCTTCATGGCGTTGCTCTGTGTGATCTTGAAGCCCTGGAGGGCGTCGCGGGCGGCTCCGGCCTGCACCTCGTTATCAAACTCCACGAAAGCGATGTCGTGCCGCCCGGGCACCAGGCGCACCTCCTTGAACCCCGGGAACCTGAGGGGCAGGATCCGGCTGTTAAAGGGGACAGGCCCCCGGATCGCTCTGGCGCCCACCCCTGCTCCCTGGGCCTCCCAATCCCCTTGCTCCCCGCCTCCTTCGGGCCACCCACTTCCACCAAGGTTTGGCACCCCCTGCCTCGGCCCATCAGCCCCCCGGTCACGCTCCCGGCACCCTCAGAGGGCCCTACACTCACTGATTGAAGAGCATGGACAGCATCAGCTCGTTGGTCTCCTCGGGCAGGTTGGTGAGGAAGAGGATGTGATTGGGTGGGTTCTCAGAGAGCTGCGAGGGAGAGAGCGGGGGTCAGGCCGGGAGCCCCGACGCTGCGAGCGGCGCCCGGAGGAGAGAGCCAAGAACCCTGCAGGGTGGCTCCAGCCAGACGCACACAGCAGGGGCAGTGCCCAGGCAAGGCCACCCTCCCCCTGCCAGGGCAAGGGCCCCCCGCTTTCCATGCACAGGAGTCCCCCGGGACTCAGCATCTCTGGCTTCCCGGCTGAGGTGAGCAACAAGCCAGTGGGGACGACTTACCCCTCCCTGAGGGGTCCCACACAAGCCTGCGAGTTCTCTTCCGCTAGGCACTGGAGTCAGTACCTTGAAGGGGAAAGGGCCTGTTACCCCCAACCCCAGCCGGAGGTTTGCCCCACACCACTGAGTCCGATGTGACATGGCCATTGCTGCCGGAAAGGAGCAGGAGCCAGGCCAAGCTCTGTCGTACTCACCGGCTGGGTAGGCGGCATCTGGCCAGGCATCATCTGCTGAGGGGGCATGGCCCCTGGCGCGATTCCTCCTGGAGTCATACCGGGTGGGGGGATCATACCCGGAGGGGGCATGTATGGAGGCTGGCCTGCCATGTGGTGCATCATGCGAGGGGCCTGGTTCATTGGCGGCATCCCCTATGGGAGAGAGCGCGAACGCCCAGCTTCACAGCAAGATCCTGGGGCGGGGCTGCCTGGGCACAGTCCTGGCATTCACACCAGAGTCCACCGCTGGCCACAGAAGCCTGGCAGTCACAGAAGCCAACCAGCAGACCCAGCCCGACTCCCGAGAGCAGCCCGGGACAGACCATGCTGGCTGCCCCACGCCCCTCGCGCCGGCTGCCAACCGGCCACTGCCCTGGGGCAGCGTCCGTCAGAGGCGCGGCTCACGTTACTCACAGGGACGGCTCCTTGCACTGCGCCTGCCACCGGAGCAGCGGCCCCAGGCATTTGTTTCTTGACCACGGGCGTCTCCGGGCCTTTAGGCTTCCTCTTCTCCCGCTTGCGGTCGCGCTCCACGTAGGTGCCTTTCATTTTCGAGATGATGTCGGAGTCCGACTTGGCGTACTGGATCCTCTGGGGGCGGAGAGAGCTTGTCAGGGGGAGCCTGGCCGACCGGGCAGTTCCCACGGCACCCGCCAGACGGCTGCCCCCGGCCCAGGGCAGCACTTACCATCGGCTTGTCGTAGAAGGGGAACCCCTGCATGGACCTCAAGGCGTTGGTGGCGCTGCTGATTTCCTTGAAGATGACGAAGGCTTGACCCCGCATCTTGAGGCTCCGAGACACCAGGATATCCAGGATCTGGCCGAACTGGGAGAAGATGGCGTAGAGGGATTTCTTCAGCTCTAGGGGAGAGAACCGGAGCGTTAGGCACACAGATCAGACAGGGATGGAGCTCTGCCGCGACGAGGAGCTGGACGCAGACCGGGCAACTCCTGTGGCCTCGGACAGAGGCTCTCACCCCCCACATCAGAGAGAGGGAGCCCACAGCACTCAGTCCTCCTCAGCCAGACAGCAAGAGGAGAGCAGGAGCGGGGCAGGGAGAGCGGGTCCTCCAGACACCCCGCCCCGGCCTCCCCCAAAGCGCCGGGCTCTGGCGCTAGCCCCTCAGCCCAGCGGCCAGCTGCAGACAAGAGCTCCCTCCCCTGGGAGCTGGCTCACCATCCTTCTTGATCTTCTCATTGAGGTTGTTGATGTAGATGGTGTGATTGGGGCGGGTTTCCGGGACGGCCATCCTCGTCGGCCCTTCGCAACGGCGGGGTCTAAGGAGAAGAGACGGTAACCTGAGGCGACCGTGCAACGGCGCCACCGGCTGCGAGGCTCCCAGTGCCAGGGAGAGATGAGCACGAGGGGCGGGAGGCAGCGACCCCACGCGCTCCAGGCTCGTCCAGGCGCAGGGGTTACGCCCACCCCACAGCGCCCGCAGGAGGAGCGGGCCCAGGCGCCAGCAGAACCGAGGCCGCCGGTGCCATGCTCAGCAGAGGCAGGCTGTGACGAGGGTCTGGGGCCAAGACTTTAATGGGGGGGCCAAGACTTTAATGGGGGGGCCAAGACTTTAATGGGGGGGCCAAGACTTTAATGGGGGGGCCAAGACTTTAATGGGGGGGCCACAGCCTGGGGTCTAGGGCACGGACCCCCCACAACGCAGCACCAGGGGAGCCCACCAGCCCGGTTCCCGGCAGCTGCCAGTGCCGCCAAATCCTGCCACGGGCGCCAGGCCTGGCCACAGCGCCTCCCCACGGGCCCCCCCCCAACAAAGACCCCCCCCACACACCGGGGGGCAGAGAACAGGCCCCCTCCCCACCCCCAGGGAGCGCTGACGGGGCCCCAGGCCCCGCTCACACCGGGGAGAGGGGGGAATAAAAGCTGCAGCCCTGCAACCCCCCCCCCCCGTAAGACCCGGATGTGGGGCTCCGGGGGGCGGGGCCCGATAAGCCCCGCCCCCCAGAAGGCCCCGGTGGCTGCGGCCCGGCCCCGCCGCCCAGACCCCGGCCATAGTGGGTCACACAGGGCGGACCCGACCGCCCGGCCCGATCCCCCCCGGCCCCGCGGCCCGATGGCGCCGCCCCGCCGCGGACCCTCACCGATGGAGTCCGCAGGCCCAGGCCTCCCAGCGCCGCCCGCCGCCACAAGAGCCCGCCGAGAGAAACGACCACGCCCCCTGGCCGCGCGAGCCACTCTCGACGAAGCAGCCTCGGCCTCATCAGCGTACCAAAGGGCGTCTCGCCTTCCCCGGCCAATGAAAGGGCTCCGGCCTCGTGCCCGGAAGGCCAATCAAAGCCGTGTCACGGCTTCTAAAACGACCAATCAGAAGGCGGTGCTCTGTCTTATCCCGCCCCCTAGGGCAATTCGCATTCGGATTGGGTGTTCCGCTCGGCCGTTCCCGCCTTCCTCACAAGAGCCGGCCAGTGGCTGAGAGCAGCTGTCAGTAACCGCCGTTACCACATTTGATTGGCGGCCTTTGTCACGCGACCCGCAACGGGCGGCAGAGAGGCGGGTAGCGGGTGGCTGGTATCCGATCACGTGACCAGACTCACCCAGCCGCGGCCGGCGGCCGCCATTTTACGAGGGGCAGGAGCGGCTCGCGAAGCGGGCGGGGCCCTCCGACCGCCCCGTGACCTCCGACCCCGCCAGGCCACGCGCCACGCCCCCGCGCTGACCCCTGACCCCCCGCGACCTGACCCCTGACCTCTCACCCATGCCCCAGTGACCTTGGTTCTAGTCTGCGCCCTTTGACCTCCTGCTGCCCCCCCAGGAGCCAGGGTGGGAATGGCCCACAGGGGGGGGCCGCCCCCTCCCCCTCCCGCCCCCCGGCAGGGCCCTGCCCCTCCCCCACCCCCGCCCCCCCCGCCCCCTCCCAGGCCGCTGCCCCCCCACGGGGCCAAGTTCCTCCAGGCGGCCCCGGCGCCGCGCAGCGGAGACGAGCTCCGGGAGCTGCTGAGCCGCCGGAAACCCAGGTCGGGCCGCGCCGCGCCGGGAGAAGCCAGGGGGCGCCAGGGGGCGCTGTGGGGCGGGGAGCGGGGCAGGGGGCGCTCTCCCCCGGCAGGCGGGGCTGGCCCCGTGGGGCGCTAGGGGGGCGCTGTGGGGCAGGGGGGGGCAGGGGGGCTCCCGGGGGGCAGGGGGCGCTGTGGGGCGGGGAGCGGGGCAGGGGGCGCTGTGGGGCGGGGAGCGGGGCAGGGGGCTCGGCAGGGGGCGCTCTCCCCCGGCAGGCGGGGCTGGCCCCGTGGGGCGCTAGGGGGCGCTGTGGGGCGGGGGGCTCGGCAGGGGGCGCTCTCCCCCGGCAGGCGGGGCTGGCCCCGTGGGGCGCTAGGGGGCGCTGTGGGGCGGGGGGCTCGGCAGGGGGCGCTCTCCCCCGGCAGGCGGGGCTGGCCCCGTGGGGCGCTAGGGGGCGCTGTGGGGCGGGGAGCGGGGCAGGGGGCGCTCTCCCCCGGCAGGCGGGGCTGGCCCCGTGGGGCGCCAGGGGGCGCTGTGGGGCGGGGAGCGGGGCAGGGGGCGCTCTCCCCCGGCAGGCGGGGCTGGCCCCGTGGGGCGCTAGGGGGCGCTGTGAGGCGGGGGGCTCGGCAGGGGGCGCTCTCCCCCGGCAGGCGGGACTGGCCCCGTGGGGGCGCTAGGGGGCGCTGTGGGGGCGGGGGCTCGGCGGGGGGGCGCTCTCCCCCGGCAGGCGGGGCTGGCCCCGTGGGGCGCCAGGGGGCGCTGTGGGGCGGGGAGCGGGGCAGGGGGCGCTCTCCCCCGGCAGGCGGGGCTGGCCCCGTGGGGCGCTAGGGGGCGCTGTGGGGCGGGGGGCTCGGCAGGGGGCGCTCTCCCCCGGCAGGCGGGGCTGGCCCCGTGGGGCGCTAGGGGGCGCTGTGGGGCGGGGGGCTCGGCAGGGGGCGCTCTCCCCTCACAGTCAGCCCCGACCCTAACCCCCAGGGTGGCAGCCCAGGTCTCTGTGGTGCTGGAGGTGCCCGCAATTCAAATGAGACGTAACACTGAGTTCCGAGGCTCTGCTCTTCGCCCCGAGGTCCAGGTGCGGTGAACCCCGGTGTCCTGGCCCGGCCCCAGCTGAGCTGAGTTCCTTTTGCCTCCCTAAATTCCCTCTGCAGTGCCCCCTGGGTCCAGGACCTTGGGCCACTTCCTGTCCCTCAGTGGGGCCTTGCCACCTGGCCATCAGACAGCAGCCGCATCCCAGCCCAGAGGTAGCCGCAGTCCCAGCAGCAGCTGACGTGCGTTCTCCCAAAGCGCTCTGGGAGGAGACGAGATCGTCTCATTAATTAAGCAGAGAAGAACGTGCTGGCGAGCGGGCGCTGGACGGCGAATGGCCAGTGAGTGTTTCTTTGGTTCTGTCTTCCAGCTTCAGCGGGTGTCTCAAGTGGCTCCTCTACAACAGGGCGGTGCCTTCCTTAATCCAAGAGGGGCCCCAGTGAGTATTGCGAGCACTATCTCTCTGGCAGCTGAGTGTGATGGGGAGGGGGTGGCTCTACCCGGGGGCTGGACCCACCCAGGGGCCTGGGGCAGGGGTCCCAGTCCCATGGATCTACAGCTTCCCCTGCTTGGTCCCTCCCAAGGAGTTGCCAAGAGCTCTTTTGTCCTGAGCGTCGGAGGGAGCATAGGGGTGGCCAGCCTGGCGCTGAGCAGGGAGCCAGCGGCTGTATTATGGTCGCGCCTGGGAAGCCCAGCCGTGGACCCGGCCCCCATTGTGCTTGGTGCTGTATAAACCTCCCAAAAGACAGTCCCCGCCCCAGAGACCTGCAGTCTAGGTCTAAGAGACAAGCCAGCCAGTGGAGACGGACAGGGAGCACCGGGAAACAAGGAGGCCATACCACTCAGCATGGTGGGCAGGGATCTCCTCCCACCAGCAGCCTAACCGCTGTGAAATCTGTTGGAGGCGTCCCGGCAAAGGAGCGTTTCCCGGCAGGTGCAGGAGGCCGAGGAGGGAGCCGGGCGGATGTTTACGGGGAGCTCCGCCCGAGCGGCGGGTGAGAGCGCAAAGGGCCTGGGGAGCGTTACTCGCCACGTCGGAGGGAAAAGGATGGTGAGGAGGTAGCACAAGGTCGGACGAGTTGGTCTAAACCTAACGTCCGACTCGGGATCTGCCTTTAAAACCCCCACGCCTGGCCTTTTCCATCTTAAACAGGTGCCCCCAGGCTGCTCCCCCAAACCCCAGCCTGGGGGTGAGCCGCACCTCAGTGAGCCGTACCCCACTCCCCTGGAGGAGCGAAGGCCTTGCTGGAGCTAGCATCTGTGGCCAGACGGCCCGTTCGCTCATGTCGCCTGATCTCCTGGGTGGCCCAGACCCTTCAGTCTCACCTGGTTACCGATGTGCTGAGCCCAGAGAGTTGAGTTAGAGCAAAACATTTCAGTCCTCAGGGGCTAAGCTCCAGTGAGCCCAGGCAAGGAACAGGAGCCACCGAGGTGCCACCGCTGCCCCAGGCCGCTGCGATGGCAGGGAATCGACTCAGTGAGACGTGCCCAGATGAGCCCAGCCGGTGACACGTACCCCAGGCTGCAAGGGAGGCAAAAACCGTAGGGAGGCTGGGAACGCCGAGGGGGAAGAGGCCAAAGGACACAGGAACCCAGGGAAGCGTTCCAAGGCTCGCGGAGAAATACCTGTCTCTGAACCCGGCACCCTGGCAGGGGGACTGGCCGAGCTCAGCCCGTGGGACCCAGGCTCCCTGCATTGTCTCTTGTCTCTGCCCCTGTAGGTGCGGGCTGGTGGCGCTGTGGATGGCGGGCTCCCTCCTCAGTCTGTCCCAGGACGTCTCCCTGGAGAGGATCATGCAGGTGGCATTGGAGAGAGGCTACACTGCCCAGGGAGAAATGTTCTCAGGTCGGTGACTGGTTGCGGTGGGGGTTAAAAACTCCCTCCCTGCACTAGGCCATAGGTGCTGGGCTGGGTGCTGGCGGGACCCTCCAAAGGCCAGTCTGGGTTGTGACTGCGTGAGGAAGTGCCCAGAGGCGGTACATAGCGCAGGGCATGAGGGCCTTGCTCCTGCCTTGCCGGAGTTCAGTCTCTGGCCCCTAGAGCGTTGCTGGGGACCGGACGCCTTCCTGGAAGGGCTCGGTGCAGGGGGAGCTGGGTGATGTGGAACAGCCTGTGCTGGACGGGAGGTCAGACTCGATGGTCTCATTGTCCCTTCCAGCCTTATTCGCTGAACCCTGGTCTCTGCACAGCCTCAGCTCCCACCTCTGTCCCCCCAGCGGGATGAGTTTTCTTGAAAACTTGCAAGATCCTTGATTTAGGGAAAGAACCCCACAGCCGGGCTGTTAATTTCCCACGAGGAGCGAGCACTTGGAGGTTTCTGTCCGAGGCACGAGGATCCTCTGGGAGCCGGGGCAGGCAGCGGGAGCCTCGCTAATGCTGGCCCTGAGTGGTCCAAGATCATGAGCATGTACTGAGCAGCTGGGCTGGGGATTCACTTTTGGAGCCTTTCAGGCTCATACTTCCCAGATCTTCTCCACAGCCAGCAGGAAAAGCTGAGGACTTTGTGGAATCCCGGGACTCCGGGAGTTGGGGTTTGTGAGGAAAAACAGCGGCTATCGTCAGGCTGCTGATAAAATCCTGAGTGCAGGCCACAGTGAGCCCGGCCTGTATAAATGCCGTGGGGCCGGCGCTATGTGTTCTCGCTGATCCATCGAGTCTCAGGCTGGCAGAGACCATTGTGAGCAGCTGGTTCGACCGCCTGTAGAACATGGGCCACGGGCCTTCCCTGAATTGGCTCCTGTGTGAACAGGAGCTTCCTGAAAAACAGCCCATCTTGATTTAAACCGCTCCCGTGATGGAGAGCCCGCCACGGCCCTCGGAAAATTGTTTCAATAGTTCATTCTCCTCCCCGTTACAAATCTGTGCCCATTTCCTGTCTGAATTCGTCTAGCTTCGCCTCCCAGCCACTGGGTCGTGTTAGACCTTTGCTAGGTTGCAGAGCCCTTGGTTGTCCCCCTGTCGGGTCGCTTGCCCCCGGCAGTGTGGTTCCCCCGCGTGCCATCGGAGCGCTGCTCAGGGGGAGCAGGAAGCCAGGGACACGCTCCGAGCGCAGGCTGCGCTGCCGGGGGTGGGCCTCGGGGCAGCTCTAATCCCTGTCTCTGCCCATCCCAGCGGCTGACATGGCCCAGCTTGCCGAGGAGGTGTTCCAGTGCCAGGCCGAGCTGCTTTCGGGAGGTCTGGAGGGAGAGAACCGGGGCAGGATCCTTCGCCATCTGACCGCTGGCTGCCCCCTGCTACTGCCGTATCCTTCCCATGCGCAGCGACCCCTTGGGGTGTCCCGTCCATGCTGGGCTCCGCACTGCAGCCTGTACGCATGGGCAGGGCTGGCGCAGTTCTGATACCCCTGTAGAGCAGGTCTGGTGGTGTCATTTTAGAGGCAGATGCGGCCACTTCTGGGGTGGGATGTGGCCACCAACTCTCACGTCTCCTCTTCCCGGCTGCAGCGGGGGCGGGGGATGAATGTGGGGCAGGTGCCTTCTCCCTCCCAGTAGTTAAATGCCCCCCCACACCCTACCTCCCCCATGCCCCGCCCTTTCGAGGCAGCCATTGGGGTGGTGTCTAGAGCCGGCAGGTTCAGACAGCAGCAGTTTTAAAGCTCCAGCCCCTCTCTGGTTGGAGGGGTTTAGCCACCCCATGTGTGCCCAGTCAGTGCTTGCTGGGGAGGGCACTTCTCCAGGGGCAGGAGCCGGGTGCCCAGAGCTGGGGCACCCTGTTCGCCCCACGTGCCCCTTCCTCGCCAGCCGGCCTGCCACAGCCCCCTTGGCAAACCTTAATGGCCACCCCAGCTACGACGAGGACTCCAACCACGAGCCTTGCAGGAGACGCGGCTACAAAGCCCACTGGGCCGTCGTCTCGGGTATGTCCCGGCTGCACGGGCGGGGGCGGCTTCTGGGGCTGCGGCGAACGGGGCTCGGACCCGTCCTGCTCAGGCCCTTTGCCCTGTTCCCGGGCAGCTCCCAGGGTGGGGAGTGAGCTTATTATCCCTGCGGCCGCAGCGCCCCGCCCTGGTCCACCCCCAAACTTCCCCCATGGGAGGGCCTGGAGCTCCCAGCATCTGGAGCTGGGGCTGCCCAGCCGCCGTGGGGAAAAACAGGCTCCTAAGGCTGGGGCGTGGGGACAGCCCCGATCAGAGCCGGGCTTCCTGCACCTACGCCTGGGCACAGGGAGAAAGAAACCAGGAGGGTGAGTTGGCCTGGCTGCATTTCCAAGACTCGCCCCAAGGGGGCGGCAGCTGGCCGGGCACGGGGCCAGCCTGCAGAGCTGTGCCAACAGTGGCTCCCAGGGACCCGTCCTGGGGGGCTGCCCCCGGCACTGGCCCAGTGATCCCAGGGGCGTGGCGAGGCTGCCCAGACAGGACCCTGCGGCTGCGACTCCCAGCACAGGACTGCCCTGGGGAGACTGGCTAGCTCCTCTCCCCCTGCAGGACTCCTGCTGGGCCTCCGGGACGGCGCCCTCAGTCCGGCCTGCCAGGAGGACGAGCAGATCCCCGGCCTCTTCCGCCCCGGCCCGGCCTGCCCCCCGCCCGCCCCGGAGGACGTGCTGGAGACCTACCTGCTCTCCAAGCAGGGCAAGAGCTGGCGCCCCCAGCTGTGGAATTACCGGCAGGCGCACGAGAGCAACGCCCAGCTGATGGACTTCTGCCCCAAGCGGGCGGGCGACGGCAAGGTCTACGTGGTGCCCGCGGGCGGCGTCAAAGCGGGGCTCTGCGGCAAGACGGTGCTGCTGTGCCCAAGGACCACACAGAGCGCCCTGCCCCAGCCAGCCGGGCCGCCCCCTGCTGCCGAGCGCTAAGAGCCACTGGGGCAGCAGGCGGAGGAGACGGCACAGCGCCCGCCTGCTGCAAACTCCCTGCATCCCTTGGGCCCGCCCATGCTACCAGGGACAGCAGGGCCTAGTGGGTGGAGCACTGATCTGGGACTCGGGGGGCCTGGCTCTGCCGCGCTTCCCCGCTCCGTGCCTCAGTTTCCCCTCTGCAAAATGGGGCTGATGTTCCTGCCCTCCTTTGCAGAGCGGTGCACGGGGAGGGGCAGGGCATATAATAGTCAGACGCACCAAGGAGAGAGCCGCTGGGGTTAAAGTGCAGGGTGTGGCCCCGGCCCCTTTTCCCTGTGCCGCAGGAAGCGCCAATGCCCGCCGGGCTGTGGCCGTGGGGGAGGAGCAGCTATTTCAGGCCCTCTCCAGAGGAGCTGCTGCTCTTCCCCCAGGGAGCTTCTCAGAATGTCCCAGATTTCTGGTTTGGGGCCACGGCGCCAGGAAACGGCAGGTACTTGTGGCCGGCTCTGAAAATAACTTAACGCTTCCTGTCTGCCACCCACCACTGTTAGCTCTTGAGAGCAGGGACTGGCTCTCAGTCAGGACTGGTGCAGCGTCCGGCCCGACGGGGCCCCGATCTTGGCCGGGGTCTGGGCAGCACCCGGCCTGATGGTCTCAGCTCTCTAGAGCTGCTGTCATACACCTAACTTGGGAACTCTGAACCACGCCCAGCAAACCTGCATTAAAGACAAAGGCTGTTTGGTTTCCACCACCGGCAGGTTCTGTTTATTGTGACAGGTTCCGGTCCCAGAGGCCTGGCCATTGTCCCTTGGCCCCAGCACCCCGTTCCCATCTCCAGAGGGGTGGCAGAGCCCCACGCAGAGGCCTGGGCCAGGGACAACGCTCTGGGAGGGATCCTGAGGGGCCCGTTCCTGCTGGTTACTGGGCAGCACTCAAGGGACTGGAGCGAATGCCCAGCTGGCTACACGCTGCGCTCCTGAGCCCGAGCCAGCGGGGAGCAGGACGGTCCCATGAACCGCGCCCACCTGCCCCCATTAGCTCCAGGGTGCAGTGAATCCGTGCTCACAGCCAGAGCTGAACCCAGTGACGCTTCCCCGCCACCGGCAGGGGCTGGAGGTCTGAGCAGCTCCCTGCACAGCGGCCACGGCTCAGGCAGCTACTGGCCGTGCCCTTGGCACAGAAGCCAGAGACAGATCGTCTCTTCCAGTAGGGTCGGGCCTCGTGAAGCCCGGGCTCCCGAATCCACTCGTCGCTGGGGCCTTGGAAAACGCTCCCCAGACTGGCCAGGCTTGAAGCTGGTGCAGGTGGAGGCGACTCCCTGGCCCCCTCCGTGTTTCAGGGGGTTGGCTCTGCCCGTGAGATGCTCACGCAGACGTGCGGTGAGCACACGGGAAACGAGGCACCGAGGGAGCGGCAGAGCCAGAGGAAACCAGGTGCCTCACTCGGGCCCTTGTGCATCCGCCTCTGCAGATGTGCGAGCCGAGCCGGGAGCCTGGCGGAGAGCTGGCCCGCGGCTGGCCGTGCCAGCACCCTGCACGAAGGGCAAGAGCCCGTGGCAAGCCCAAGGCTGGGCTAAGAGAACCACACAAAGCTGGCAGAGGAGGCAGCGTCCCAGCTGGTTCTCAAACGGCCGAGATCCCTGTAAAGCCGGACTGAGCTTTCCAGCCAGGCTCACCTCAGCACAGAGCCACACAACTCTCCAGCCTCCAGGAAAACCGCCCCGGGCTAGGCCAGACTCAGCCACAGGCCCCCTGAGCTCCCCGTGGGCGTGGCGCAAGCTTGGCAGTAAGTCCGCGTTCTCAGTTCCCAGCCGGCCTGTTCCCAGGCCAGAGGGGCCAGCGCGAGGCTCCTTTGCACAGCCAAACGGACGGGCCGGTAAGAGCAGAGCGCCGGGGGTGGAAATGGCCAGCCAGTTCCGACCCTCCAGCAGGGCCACAAATGCTTCAGGGGAAGGGGTGAGAACGCCGCAGCCGCAGCTGGGGGACGCCCTGCCACCTGGGGTCGTCTCAGAGCCCAGTCACTATGCTTCAACCCCCGAGTTGCCAAAAAGTCTTTTAAAGTGTCTTGAATTTAACACAACATTAATGGGCAGCTCCCTGCAGATCAGGTCCCGTGGAGCCGCCCAGTGGTGGGGCAGGGTCTAATACCAGCAGGGGCGGGAACCGGACCCACCTGCGAAATTAAGCAGGGCTGCAGGAAAATGGGCCGTGAACAGGAGAGGGGCCCAGAGGATCCAAGCCTCCTTTGGTTCGGTTCCGCTTCGGCCAGCGTCGCCCGGAGTGCAGGATCACTGCCCCTGTGCCCGCCGAAAGGCTGGTGTCTCCCGTCTCAGCCTCGGCCTTCCCAGGGTTCCCTGGGCCGCGGAACGAGCCACTGAGCGGGAAAGGGCTCCGCTCCGAGACGGGACCAGGTCTCGGCCCTTCCCGCTGGCTGCTGTAAAACAGGTCCCATCGCATCTGTGCGACGGGCCAGGCCCTGCAGGTGTCCTCCCCAGCGCGGGGCCGTCAGCCGGTGGAAGCGGGCACAGGCAGACGGGGCGCGACGGGCCCCAGCTCCGAGCGGGGCTGTAGCATATCTGGCTGTATAAATAAGAGGCAGGGAGGGCACCGCACGGCAGTGCCTGTCTATTGCACAGAGCCGGTGCCGGGTGTCCCCAGTGCGCCGGCCCAGGCCCTGCCGGTGCCCGGCTCAGTTCTGCACCATGGTGCTGAAGATGGCGATGAGATTGTCCAGCCCCCAGAGGTAGCCGTCCTCTCGGTTCCCCTCCACCCACGGCAGCCGGTGCGTCAGCGTCTGCCCCCCGGCCAGCGGCACCATCTTTCCGAAGTCGATCATCCAGACCTTGGCCAGCCCCGTCCGGTCATGGACGAAAAGCAAAGAGCTCCCCACCACCTGTCAGGGGGCAAACACAGAGCTCAGTGAGCAAGAGGGCTTGGAGCCAGGACTCCTGGGTTCCTTCCCCGGCTCTAGAAGGGGAGTGGTTAGAGCAGAGCTGGGAACCGGGACTCCTGGGTTCTCTCCCCAGCTCTGGGAGGGGAGTGGGGTCTAGTGGTTAGAGCAGGGGGGCTGGGAGCCAGGACTCCTGGGTTCTCTCCCAGCTCTGGGAGGGGAGTGGGGTCTGGTGGTTAGAGCAGGGGGCTGGGAGCCAGGACTCCTGCGTTCTCGCCCCAGCTCTGGGAGGGGAGTGGGGTCTAGTGGTTAGAGCAGGGGGGCTGGGAGCCAGGACTCCTACGTTCTCTCCCAGCTCTGGGAGGGGAATGGGGTCTGGTGGTTAGAGCAGGGGGGTCTGGGACCCAGGACTCCTGGGTCCATTCATTGCTCTGGGAGCCACAGGAGGAGGCTGCTACAGAACCCAGCGCATCCAGGCGGGGCCAGAGGAGAGACAAACAAGTGTCGCTTCCTAGGGACCTGGGGTTGCCAGTGGGCAGGCGAACAGACCCTGCACCCTGGCGCGTGTGCCCAGACCCACAGGGCGAGGGCCACTGGCTGGGCCACCCGCTCAGCAGGGAGCGTCTCCCCCGCGGCCCCCACCCAGCCAGAACCTACCTCGTGGGTCTTGAAGACCTCGGACTGCTCCAGCGCTGCCCGCAGCTCCTCCAAGCGGCCCAGGTAGGTGGCCTGGGGAGGAAGAGGGGGGTGGGCAGGTGAGGCCGAGGGCGCCACGGGATCCACCCAGCTGCCCCGAGTGCCAGCCAGGTGCAGCCGGTCTGGGCCCCGGCAGGGAGGGGAACGGGGCTGGCCCGATCGGCAAGGACTGGCACTGGAATTCAACAGGGGGCGCCCTCCCCGGCAGGCAGGGCTGGCCCCAGGGGCGCCCTAGGGGGCGCTGGGGGGGGCGGGGGGCTCAGCAGGGGGCTCTCCCCTGGCAGGCAGGGCTGGCCCCAGGGTGGCGCTGGGGGGCGCTGGGAGGGCTGGGGGCTCAGCAGGGGGCTCTCCCCTGGCAGGCAGGGCTGGCCCCAGGGTGGCGCTGGGGGGGACTGGGGGCTCAGCAGGGGGCTCTCCCCTGGCAGGCAGGGCTGGCCCCAGGGTGGCGCTGGGGGGCGCTGGGAGGGCTGGGGGCTCAGCAGGGGGCTCTCCCCTGGCAGGCAGGGCTGGCCCCAGGGTGGCGCTGGGGGGGCTGGGGGCTCAGCAGGGGGCTCTCCCCTAGCAGGCAGGGCTGGCCCTGGGGGGGGTTGTGGGGCAGGGAGCGGGGTGGGGTCTCCCCAGGCAATCAGAGCTGGCCCTAGAGGGCGCTGTGCTGCCGCCCGCAGTTGAAACAAAAGCCGCGCAGATCTCCGCCAGCCGCTGTCGTGCCCCAGAGGTGGCCGCATTCCGGCAGCGAAAAGCCCAAGCTCTGGGCCATGCGGCACCTACGGGGAGCCCAGCCCCTCACCAGGATGGTTCTGTCGCCGTCCACAAAGTCGCCCAGCGCCTGCACCACCTGCTCGGGCAGCCGCGTCTTCTTGAAGTTGGTGCTGCAGGTGCCGTCGGCTTTCTGGGGACACAGGGACCCGTCAGCCCGGGGCCTGGGAGGCTGCACGGGACGCACCTGCCCCACTCAGACCCACTCCCCACACAGCCAGCCCTGCCCCAGCCGGACGTGATCTCCCCTCCCCAGAGCCAGACGCCCCTGCTCCACCTTCCCCTCCCAGAGGTGAACATAACCCCCCTCCCCGCTGCAGCCAGGCCTGCTCCACCCCAGCCAGATGTGACCCCCCAGCCAGGCCTGCTCCACCCAGGCCAGGCCTGCTCCTCCCCCCAGCCAGATGTGGCCCCCCAGCCAGGCCTGCTCCACCCCAGCCAGGCCCGCTCTGCCCCAGCCAGATGTGGCCCCCCCAGCCAGGCCTGCTCCCCCCCCAGCCAGATGTGACCCCCCAGCCAGGCCCGCTCCGCCCCGGCCCGTGGCCCCACCTTGATGCCCTCGATGCGGAAGCCCAGCGTGGAGGTGGAGCTGAGCGACTCCCTCCACTGCATGTAACGGGGCTTGAGCACGGCGCGCTGGGCGTGCTCCTCGGGCGTGGGCGCCCCCGGCTCCACCGCCACCATCTTCTCGTACATGTCGCGGCGCAGCCGGGGCCGCTGCCGGGCCTGCTCCAACTCCTCCTCCAGGTACGTCCTGCGGGGGGGCAGAGCGGGGATCAGCTGGGGGCGCCCACCCCATGGCCTCGGCCTCGGCCGGCCCGGGGCTCCTGGGGTCTGGCGCTCCCAGCGCAGGGCTCCTGGGTTCTACCCCGGCGGTGGGGGCTGGTGGTCAGAGCAGGGGGGCTGGGAGCCAGGACTCCTGGGTTCCATCCCTGGCTCTGGGAGGGGAGTGGGGGCTGGTGGTCAGAGTGGAGGGGGCTGGGAGCCAGGACTCCTGGGTTCTCTCCCTGCTGCCCCTCGCTGAGCCGGCTTGCCTGTGCCCCCTCTGGGCTCTCACCTGACCCCCATCTTGCAGTCCATGAGGGAGGGCGTCTCGAAGTTGGCCAGCAGATCCTCCATCTGGTTGTAGCACTCGCCGTCCCGCTGCGCCAGCCCGAAGTAGGCGGGCACGTGGGGGCGCAGCGAGTCCCCCATGAGGCGCTCCAGGCTTTGCTGCTCACACGGGCAGAACTTCTTCAGGATCCGCCCGTAGTCGCCGGCTTTGAAATTCCCTGCCGGGGAGGGAGGGGACGGCTGGTGTCAGGGGAGCCCGGACACGCCCGGCCCATGCCCGCTGGGCACACGGCGCTGCCTTCGCCCAGCCACCCTCGGGGCTGGCTGCACCCCCAGCAGAGCCACGGCCCCTCCCCTCGTGGCCCTGTTCCCACGGCCCCTCTCACCCGCATGGCCGGCCAGCTGCACCCAGGGGTAGCGCTTCTTGAAGGACACGACGAAAGGCGACCAGTGGACCATGCTCTTGAGTTTCTTCCACGGCTTGTTCTAGAGAGAAAGGCAGGGAGGGAGTCAGTGCCCGGGCGCCCGCGGCAGGGGACCCGGCAGTGCCCCCCCTACTGTAGGAGGGTCCTCGCTAGAGGACCCAACTGAGATCGCCCCCCCCCCGCCCCCCCGTGCCAGGTGCTGCACAGACCGCGCGTGTTCAAGGCCCCCAACGGGTGACCGGCGCTTTCCAGCCATTCGGCCGAGATCAGGGCCCCGTCAGGCCAGGCGCTGCCCAGACCCCGAGGGACAGACAGTCCCTGCCCCGCACAGCGCATGGGAAGGATTGTTCTCCCCATGTTACAGACGGGGGAAACTGAGGCCTGACTTGTCCAAGGTCCCCCAGAGTGTCAGCGGCAGATTTGGGAACGAAAAAGGGAGTGACTCCTCCCCCAACCCCTGCTCTAACCACTAGACTCCCCTCCCAGAGCCAAGACAGGACCCAGGAGTCCAGGCTCCCAGCTGCCCGTCTCTAACCACCAGCCCCCACTCCCCTGGGAGAGAACCCAGGAGTCCTGGCTCCCAGCCCCCACACCACACGCCCTACGACGGGGGGCCAATCTGACTCCATCTATGCAGCTGGTTCGGAAGCTCGCCCGGGCCCTCGGCGCCTCCCCCAGACACACACGCGCCCTCCCCCACCCCGGGGCAGCTCCCCTCCCACCTGCGGCACTGCACCATCCCGCATCGGCCCAGTGCAGCTGTGTCTGCTCCCTGCTCACCGCCGGGTGCCCGGAGCCGGTGGCGGGCGGGGCTGGGGGCCGCCGAGGACAGCAGCTGCTTGCGGGCGCTGCCCCACGCCGAGACGCTGGCATGTCACCTCCGCCTGGCGCGGAGCAGAGTCCCCGTTCCCGCCCCCCGCCTGGACTTTCACCCAGGGCACAGGTCGCGCCCGCGTTAATTACACGGGGAGGGGGGGGAGAATCCCTATCACCTGCTGGCACCAGCTCGTTATGGGGCCGCTGGGAATGGCCCCCGGGCTGTCCCCTCTGATCAGGCACAGGAGTCGGGAGGGCCAGGCCAAGGCCACCCCACCCCACCCCTATGGCCCCTGCAGAGGGGGCTCAGTCACCAGCAGCTCCGGGTCCCTCTGAGGGACGAGCCCATGCAGGCCTCGTGTCTGGGAGCCAGGACTCCTGGGTTCTATCCCTGGATCTGGGAGGGGAGTGGGGGCTAGTGGTTAGGGGGGGCTGGGAGCCAGGACTCCTGGGTTCTATCCCTGGATCTGGGAGGGGAGTGGGGGCTAGTGGTTGGGGGGGGCTGGGAGCCAGGACTCCTGGGTTCTAGGGGTTTCAAGAACACAACACAGCCATGAGCCTCAGCCTTTGTCACCAAACCAGCTCCCGGCTGCACCAGTTTCACCCTTTCAGCAGAAACTCCCGCCCCCCGCCCCGCTCAGCCTTTCACCCAGAGAACTTCCCCCCGCTCCAGCCCTGGCCTGACACACATTTTCCATCACAAGCGCCTCGCGGTTTCTTGCTGACTCTGCGCGAGGAGGCTGTGAGCGACGAGCAGAAACCTGCTGGCGTGATCAGGGCTGAGCCACAACAGAGCCGGGGGGGGCATGGAGAGCCAAAGATTTGTAACAGGTTGGCCTGGCTGCAGCCCATGGGGGAGCCTGGGCCAGCGGCGAGAGCATGGGACTGGAGTCAGGACTCCTGGCTCTGCCACTGATGTATGGGGCGGTCCTAGGCAACTCCTTGCATCTCCCCCAGCAGTGACCTGAGGAGAACAACCTGCCCTTTGTTGCTTTGGGTGGGTGCGACGGGGCCCTGATCTTGGCCGGGGCCTGGGCAGCGCCCGGCACGACGGGCCCTGATCTCGGCCGGGGTCTGGGCAGCGCCCGGCACGACGGGCCCTGATCTCGGCCGGGGTCTGGGCAGCGCCCGGCACGACGGGCCCTGATCTCGGCCGGGGTCTGGGCAGCGCCCGGCACGACGGGACCCTGATCTCGGCCGGGGTCTGGGCAGCGCCCGGCACGACGGGCCCTGATCTTGGCCGGGGCTTGGGCAGCGCCCGGCACGACGGGGCCTGATTGGGGGGTCTGGGCAGCGCCCGGCACGACGGGGCCCCATCTTGGACAGGACATTGAGGTTCTCCCTGCCCCTCACTCCCGCGCTCACAGCTCCACGGCTGGGTCTCACTTACCCAGGAAAGCAGCTTTTAGAGGATCCCCCTCTCGGGAAGCTGGTTTTCGCTGGATCTCAAATCCCCATCCCGAGCTGCCCCATCCCGTAACTGTACAACCCCAGCCGCAGCAGCGTCTACCTGCCCCGTCCCGCCCCGCGTCTGGGTGGCGTCAGGGGGCAGGGCAGGGAGTCAGAGATTTGTCATGGGAAAGCGGAGGCTGGGGCAGGTCAGGGTTTCCACCCCGACAGGTTTGTCAGCTCTGCACATGACTGCTGGGGGGGGGAGGGGGGCAGGTGCTATCAACACTCAGCATCTCGGCCCATTTCCTGTTCCCCTTCCTAAACCCCGTAAAGCCCCCCGCCCCACAGGGAGCATCGGCCAGGTGCTGGGGCGGGGGGGGGGCGGGGAGGGGGGACACTGAGGCACAGAGCAGGGCCAACCTTCCACAAGCAGCCTCAGGCAGAACTCGTGGCCCAGGGAGGCCGGCCTTGTGGAAGACCCGGGCTGGAACCCAGGAGATCTGGTTCTGCGCTGTCTTCCTGCATGACTTTGGGCAAGTCACTGCCGCCCTATGACTCAGTTTCCCCATCTGCTAATTAGCAAGCTGCAAACAACGCCCTGGCACCAGCATCAGCCTGCCTCAGAGCGACGGTGCAAGGGTGGATGCCGGGACGTCTGCGAGGCTCAGAGGGGCGGCCGAGGCCCCCGAAGGGTGTGGGAACAGAACCCGGCAGTCCGGCTCTGAACCGCTAGGCCCCAGGCTCCTTCCCCAATCACACCCGACCTGAGACGCCCCATTTCCAGGCAGTTCCGAGAGCTCCTTTCAGGCACGGAAAACCACGGCTCACACCCGACAGCCAGGGCCCTGGGGGCTCGGCACACAGGCCATGGGGCAGCCCTCCAGGCGTACGCGCCTGGCCGGGGCAGTGGCCACACACAGGGGCAGTGGGGGGGTATTTATTCCACACTGGCAGAGCACAGAGGGCTAGAGGGGCCAACCCCATCCGCCCCCAGCTCCCCCGTGACCCCAGCTCCCCCGTGACCCCAGCTCCCCCGTGACCCCAGCGACCCCCCTCACCCTACAGCGCCCACCCTCCCAAGGGAAACAAGAGGGTTTAACCCGCCAGCGGCGTGGGGGGGGGGGGGAATTTGCCATCAGCTGCAGGTGCATTCACGCCACGAAGGGCCTGTGGGCTCCCGCCACCCTCACCCCAAAGGCTGGGAGTCGGGCCGGGTGCTGGGCAGGGCTCGGGGGCCTTGGCTCGTGGTGACCAGTTGGCAGCTTTCAGCTCACACGTCCCCCCAGGGGCTGCAAGCGAGCCGGGGCCAAGGACCACACACGGGCAAAGGGCACCACAGGGTAACAGCACTCGAGAACTTCTGCTCATCCCAGGACCCAGGACACCTGGGTTCACTCCCCAGCTTGGGGAGTGGGGTCTAGTGATTAGAGCAGGGGGGCTGGGAGTCAGGACTCCTGGGTTCACTCCCCAGCTTGGGGAGTGGGGTCTAGTGATTAGAGCAGGGGGGCTGGGAGTCAGGTTCTCTCCCAGCTCTGGGAGGGGAGTGGGGTCTAGTGGTTAGAGCAGGGAGGCTCTCCTAACTCTGCACTGAATACCTGGCACGACCCCTCTCTCTGCCTCTGTGGGGAAGAGCCCCCCCAGCTCTCTGGGGAGGGGCAGTGGGGCAGTCATTGCTGGGGGGTCCCCGGCCGTGCTGGGGAGTCGTCGGGCAGGGGGCAGAGCTGAGCCACCAGGGGCACCCGCAAACAGCCCCCCCCCCCGCCTGGCCCCTGGGCAGGCAGCCAATGTGGGGGGGCTCTGGAGTCCCCCCTGCCCCACGGCTAGACAAAGCCCAGCGCCCGGGACAAGTCACCATGACAACATGCCGGGGAACCATTGTCCTCTAGATAAAAGGGCCCGACGGCTGGGTTCTCCCCCCCGCACTGGGAGGGGAGAGTGGGGCTGGGAGCCAGGACGCCTGGGTTCTATCCCTGCCGGGGGAGGGGCGGCGGGAGTTAGTGGTTCAAGCAGGGAGCCCGGAGGCCTGGGTTCTGTGACTGCCAGGCGAGGACAGAGCTGTCTTGCTTGGGGGGTGTCCCTGGAGCGAGGTTTGTTCTGGGTCCCCGGGCTGGCGGTCGAGGTGCCCAGTAACCTCTCCGTGTCCCGGAGCCCCTGGGAGCTGGGTCAGCCCCCCTCATGCCCACCTGGGGAAGCTGAGGCACGGAACCCCATGGGATCCCCCTTCCTGCCCCTGGCAGCTGGGGACTGACACCCCGAGGGCCAAGCCCTGGACCCACCTCATGTAACCCCACGTCCTGCTATTCGGGGGTTTGTCTTATACAGATACCTCTTCCCCCCCCACAAAAAAACCCCAAAGTGTCCCGCTTTGTCACCCCTGCCCCGGGCGCCCCGCGGGTACTTACCCGATAGGGGCTCCTGTCCCGCTGCTTCATGGCCCTGCCAGCCCCACGGCTCCACGCTTCCCCTTTGCGCCACCTCCGTCTTTCTGATGCTGCCTGAGCCCTCCCCGCTGGCTGGCATCCAAACCTCGGCGGGGGGGCGGGGGGGTGACGATGCCAGGGGGTTGCCAAGCAACCAGGCCAGCTGGCAAAGAATTTTCCATGACAGCAGCAGGAGACAGGCCCTGGCGCAGGCAGGAGGCAGCCCCCCAGGGTGCTAAGCCCACCCCATTGGGGAGTGGGGGGCAGGAGCTAGTGGGGAAGGGGCAGGGCTGGGATACGGGACACCTGGGTTTAAGTCCTGGCTCGGCCCCGGACCAGCTGTGTGACCTCGGGCCAGTTCCTGCGGCCAGACTCAGTTTCCCCATCTAATGTCTGGTCAGAGAGGGGGCCCTTCGGGACAGGGACTGTCTGGCTGTGTCCGTCGTGGGGTGGGGAGGCTGATCTCCACTGGGGCCTGTGCAGCGCCCAGCCCCACGGGGACCCGACCTCCCAGAGCTCTGTTTAAATGCCCCAGCGTGGGGGCAGGATTCATTGCTCCCATCCGCCCCGTGGGGATTTTTGCTGCAGCGTATTTTTAAAGCCCACACTTGGGTGCCAGCGGCTGTGGGTTCCTGTCAGAGTATGTGGGGGGGGGCTGGTTACTTCACCTGTGCCCCCGCCCCCGCAACCCCAATGAGCTCCCCTCTGCCCTGGGGCAAACAGCAGACCCGGCCAACACAGGGCATTTACCCCCGTTTCCGGGCTCAAAGGGCAGGGTTCCTCCGCGCCCAGGCTCTGGGGAAGGGAGAGCAGGTGCCCGCAGCCTCTCCCCGACAGGCACACGCTGTCCTGCATCCGCCTGGGAGACAAGAACACAAACATGCCCTGGCTGTCCCCAGACCAAGGCCAGCGCGGGAAATACCAGCGAGACAGCCTGTCCTCCTCGGGAGGTGTGAGACAGCCGGCTGCAAGCCAGGAGTCCTGCTCCCAGCCCCCTGCTCTCACCACTGGACCCCACTCCCCTCCCAGTGCCTGGAAAGGAACCCAGGAGTCCTGGCTCCCAGCCCTCTGCTCTCACCACTGGACCCCACTCCCCTCCCAGTGCCTGGAAAGGAACCCAGGAGTCCTGGCTCCCAGCCCCCTGCTCTCACCACTGGACCCCCACCTGGCCCTGCCCCGAGCTGGGAATGGAACCCAGGAGTCCTGACAGCCAGTTCTCTGCACTCACCATGAGACACCTCCCTCGCTGAGCGGAGAAGAGACCCCCGGCGTCCGGATGCCAGAGGCTCTGCTCTAACCACTCGACTGCACCCCTCCAGCCCCGCCGGCGACGGGACCCGTCCTGGGGGCTCCCTGCGATCTCCGTGCCAAGCTGCCCGAGGGGGATGTCCTGGTTTACCCGGCAGGGCGGAGGGGGCTCAGCGCAGCATTGCATGAAGGATTTTTCCTTTCCACTGCTGCAAGCGACCCTCCCCGGATTCCTGTAACTGACACACACAGGGTGGGGGTAGGGGGGTGAGTGGGGGGATCCCCTCTTTTTCCAGCCGGCAGGGGGGATTTTGCCTGTGCTTATGTCAGTTTCACCGCTGCCCTCGCTGTTTTGTGTGGGTCTTTCAGGCAGCAATGGGGCGGGGGGGGGGAAGAAACCCCCTTTGAAAAAGGAAGCTGGAGGTGTAAAAGCAGCAGACGTGGCGGGGGGAGTGAAATGTGGAACTTAACATGGGCTCGATTTCCAGCTGCCGGCGTCCCACTTCACACTCGGCAGATCTTGGAACGTGGGGGGAAGCAATCCTTGCGATGGGGGCCCAGGGTCTGTGGCCCTGCTCCATGGCTGGGGCGGCCCCAGGGCTTAGCATGATACAGCTGGGAGCAGCATCCTGACCCAAAGTCTCCTGCTCTAATCATGACCCCACGGTCCTTCCCAGAGCTGGGAGAGAACCCAGGAGTCCTGGCTCCCAGACCCCCCAGCTCTAACCACTACACCGCCCCATCTAACCTCTTTTCAAAACCAGCTGGGAAGTCGTTTTAATGGCACAGAGCCGAGTTCAGCTCTCCCGGCTCCTGCCAGATTCCAAGAGAAGCCCCGGCTTCCTTCCCCTAGGCCCAGATCCTGCCCTCAGATCCCTTCAGGCTAAACTCAGGGCCTCAAGTCACCGGCTCCCTTAACCTGACCCAGGGAGCGAATTACACAGTTATTGCCTGTAACCCAAATACACTGACTCCCCAGCCCTGCAAACCCCCCTGGCGGGAAATAGCCCCTTGCTTCCTTTTCAATTTCTATGACTTGTTTACTTCTGTCTGTTTTCACCTCTCATCTCATCTGACACTGAGGGAACCAGCCCTGGTCTTAGTACAGTGCCTAGCACCATGCGGCCCTGGGCCGTGGCGAAGCGTAAATAATCCCCCCATTTCTCTGTGACGTTGCACTCCGTATGATTTTATGAAAATATCCTGATGAGTGTGAATATGATGTAACTGGAATATGCTTCATGCAAAAGGTCTCTTGGAAGGTATCGTTACAAAGCTTATAATCTCCTGAGTGTGGGCATCCTATTTGTATAATGACAGGTTTCAGAGGAACAGCCGTGTTAGTCTGTCTTTGCAAAAAGAAAAGGAGGACTTGTGGCACCTTAGAGACTAACCAATTTATTTGAGCATGAGCTTTCGTGAGCTACAGCTCACTCCACGGTAAACATCTGATGAAGTGAGCTGTAGCTCACGAAAGCTCATGCTCAAATAAATTGGTTGTCTCTAAGGTGCCACAAGTACTCCTTTTCTATTTGTATAAATGTATCACTCTTGTATCTGAAACTAGGAATATGAAATATAACTCTGAGGGCCTATTGTAATTATGCAAAGTGTGGGCCATTAATGGTGGCTTGGAGTCTTGATGGCCCCCATCAACTAGGACAATTGGTTGTAAATGGCTCTGTTGACTTGGAAGCCTTCCTGTGAGTCAGGCCAGGAAGAATGAAGCCTTGTGGGGGGGTCTCACAGGACATGTGACCATGTCACCTGGTACTGGAATCCATCTTAAACCTGGTGCTTTTCCATTGAAAAGGGGGGGGGGGAGGAACCCAGAGAGACAAAGGATTCCCGCCTTGGGCCAAAGCTATTAAAGGGGGTGGAACAGAACAAAGGGGGCTGCAATCATGAGAAATCCCCTCGTTACCACATGAGCTGGAAGAAGGATTGTACCAGGGGAAAGGAAGGAGTCCAGTCTGTGAAAGAAGCTGATTGGAACATCTCCAAGGGTGAGATTTACCTGTATTCAGTTTCTTAAATGTATTAGACTTTTAGACTTGCCTGTTTTGTTTTATTTTGCTTGGTCACTTACTTTGTTCTGTCTATTATTGCTTGGAACCACTTAAATCCTACTTGTTACACTTAATAAAATCACTTTTGCTTATTAATTAACCCAGAGTAAGTGATTAATACCTGTGGGGGCAAACAGCTGGGCATATCTCTCTATGAGTGTGGACAATTTATTCGTTTACCCTGTGTAAGCTTTATGCAGAGTAAAATGGATTTATTTGGGGTTTGGATCCCACTGGGAGCTGGGTGTCTGGGTGCTGGAGACAGGAGCACTTGCTAAGCCGTTTTCAGTTAAGTCTGCAGCTTTGGGGCGCGTGGTCAGACCCTGGGTCTGGGTTGCAGCAGGCTGGCGTGTCTGGCTCGACAAGGCAGGGTTCTGGAGGCCCAAACTGGCAGAGAAAACGGGCTCAGAGGTAATTCCAGCATGTCAGGTGACAGTCCCAAGGGGGTTTCTGTGACCGAACCCGTCACACTCTCCATGAGCACCAGCCCCAGGCTCTGGACACTGCCTGGTTTCCCCCCACCGCACGGGACAAGCGAGCGGCGCTGTTTTAGGCTGAACCCGGCCCCTCTGTTCCTCAGGAAAATCCGTCCCAGCACAAGTATCTCTGCACCAGCAGCCAGCCAGTGATGGCTACGGGCCCGTGGTTCACTTCCCAGCAAGCAGCGAGCCCTGGTCAGTCTCGTCTCCTGACTCTTCCATGGGGAATTCAGGAAAAACTCTTCCCAGCAGCTGCCGAGGAAAGGGAGACCCCTGGACGGGCATCGGTCGGGTTGAGGACTGAATCGCCCAGCCCACGTCTGCCTGGAAAGGAGGGTGCAGCCGGCACCAGGTGTCAATTGACTCAACCCAGCGACACCTCAGCTTCCCGCACTGCCCGCCTCGCAGTGGCTGGCAGAGGGCCCGCGGGAGAAGGAGACGGGCGGGGACCCACACTGGGCTGCGGATGCTCTCCAGGAGTTTCCGCACTGGCAAACGAGAGCTGCATGGGGCACGTTAGTCACCAAGCAGCAGGTCAGGCGTGGCACATGGGACACGGCCACGTCGAGATGAACGCCGCCCGGCAGGCCCCTTTCACAGCTGCCCGTGTCGGTACGTCCACCGGCAGCGAACGCACGCTCCAGCCTGGAGCCGACACCCCGAGCGATTCACATGGGACAGCGTCGCTTCCTCCCCATGTCGAGTGGCTGGGGGGGGGCGGGTTTGGCAGCAAACCACTCCCCACCCTCGCCAGCGGCCTGGGTCCTCGGCAAACGCGGCCAGAGGCTCTGGACTGATGCAATTTCCAGACCCAAAACTCTGGGCACACCGATGCTGGTTTTTTCCATCTCTCATTTCAGGAAGAGCCGGGCCCTGGCCAGGACTTCCTCCCGCGAAGTCCCTAGTGTGGCGGGTCTGAAATCAGGGCAGCAGGAGCCAGGAAATGCGAAGTTCCAGCCGTCAGCTGCAGTCAGCAGCTGCTTCTGTCTCCGACCTGGGCCTTCCCCATGCGCGTGCGGTTTGTGTCCCGTGCCAATGGGAGGGGTGGGTTGGTTGGGTTTTTAACTGATCAAGGCCTGGTCTGCACTTAGCTCGACCTAGCTACGTCACCTAGGGCTGTGAGAAATCCATGCCCGTGAGCGCCGCCGTGAAGCCGACCCAGCGTAGACACGGTGAGGTCGATGGAAGATTTCTTCCTTAAACCAGCTCCTGTCTCTCAGAAAGCCCTGCTGGGAGGGGAGAAAGCAGCTGCACCGGGGGCTACCCCTGTCTTCAACATCCAGGCTTCAGAGCGACACCCAGACAGACAGACAACGTGATCTTTAACTGCCAGGGACAGTTCAAGCGGGACAACC